GGATTTAGGGGAGCTTAAGGTTCTAGGGTTTAGGAGTGGAAGTCAGTGTTCAGGCGATTGCACAAGTCCTAATGCAAAAAGGAGTTTATAGGGTTTAGAGGTCGAGGGTTTCGGTTTTTGGGATGAATTTTATGGGCAGTATAAAGGGATCAGGCTTTGTCATTCTGGGAGTTCGGGCTTGCACCTGTCTTAAGGCCACCGCAAAGAAGGCTGGTCTTCTGCGTGGCTTAAAACTGCGTGGTGTCCGAACAGAGAACTTGATAACAAGGATCCTACTATTTAGGGTACTATACTAAGGTCCCCTATTTTATGAAACTCCCGAAGAGCAGGACATGAAGTCGTCGAGGTAAATCCATCATCCAATAAGCTCTCGCCGCCTCGAAGCTTTGGCCGCCAAACCTTGGTAGTTTGATCTAAGCGGCATCCATCCGCGAATGACGACAGTGATGGGCCAGCTCAACCTCGCTATGTCGTGTAGGTAGTTCACCTCGTAGTAGAATAGGCATCCTGTATATAACCTTTTTTGGGTAGTATAGTCCCTATACAATTCCTACATAACCAAAAAGGTTAACCTTTAGTTCCCCTTGATGCCCGACAAGTAGATTCATCCTCGTCTCAAAAAGTTGTGGGCCAAGGAACGACTGCGCAGCAGCGGTGGCAGCAAGGAGGCCAATCCGAGAAAGGTTTCGTCATAGCGGTTTTGTCGTACATGGGCCTGCACTTCATGCACAGATGTACATGCAGGTGTGTGCATGTGGCTGCCCAACATGTCTCAGCATGCTAGGCTCTCTTGTGGAGATGTGGATGTGTTCCGCTTATGATCGTCATCATCGTCTTGCGCGCGCCATACAATATGATCTATGCGTAGTCCGATATGGGCAGGGGCAGGGGACTCTCCTGTGTATGGCACTCCTAAGTTCAGGTTAAATTTCAGGAAAGTCGAGTTTCAGTTTGCAGCTGGGATAGAACCCACTGTCCAAGCATGAATTCCTTGTTTGCGGCATGTCCAACTTTTCCCTTACTTCGGTGCCTTGAGGGTGTCATTGCTGTCCAGCATGCGCATCGTGGCAGGCGGCCGCGCAAATCGATGCTTTCTTGAGGGAGGAGGTGTCCGGAGGGCACTTCGCGCGTCAGGCGGCGGATTCAACACTGACATGGTTGCCTGGATGCCTACTTCAGACCGAGACCATCAGTCGGGTTAGTCACAAATATCGGAGTTTGGCAGAGCTGCTTGGCAGTGGAGTCCTATAAACCCTAAATCCCCACCAACAACCATCCAGAAATTCTCAGAAGCTCTGAAGGGCCCTAAGCTCCTGAAGCCCCAGACTCCAGGAGTGCCTGCCCTGTGCGAGCGTGCCCATCAAAACGCTGACAAACCCTAATATGGCATCTAGAATCTTGAGAGCACCTAGAGGCTCATACCCTACCCTTTCTTAGATACAATTTTTACATGGTTTCAATTTGTTATATAGGAAAGTAGATATATACCCTAAATAAGGGGTAGGGTATGAGCCTACACGCAGCCAATAGACCCTGCATCGTAGGTGCGTCCTAGCCAGGCGGGAGGGGAAAATCAATTGAAGCCATTTCGGCTTTAGATATCCGGGATCCAAAGTCTTGCCCGGCCATGGCGCCTGCCCCAGCGACGCGTGAAGATGCTCGGGATGCCCCTTTGGCTGATGAGTATGGGGTTTGATTATAATCTTTCATACTTTCCCTTGTAGTCTGATAGTCCATATTGTCGGCTGATTTTGGATGTACTGGATGCAAAGGTTCGTTTTGTATTGTATTGCATGGACTCACTCTACTGCTAAATACTCCAGCCTGCAGCCTGCCCGAGAATCAAGCATTAACGAAAGAGGGGCTTTCTGGGTTCGGGTGCCCATTCTCAAGAGCTGCACTGATGGATATCCGCTTTTGCGATGCAGGTGTGGCTCCAACCTGCGGACGAGGACAAGACAGTAGGACTAACAAACTCAGGGTTGACAAGCCACCTGATTGCCAGCAATACACGGTCTACAGTCAAGAAAGCCGTGAGAACCGCGTGCTTTGTGCACATTATAACGATTCAACACTTGTTGCCAATGTTTTTCGTAATCTCTCCTTGCTGCTCGCTCGCTCCATTCAGTCTCACTCACTTGTTTCTTCTCGCGCTTGCTCTTTCTCTTTCTATCTCTCACTCTGCTCTCTCGCTCTCTCTCTCTCTCTCTCTCTCGCTGTCTCTCCCTGCCTGTGTCCCAGTCTCTCTGATGACTCAATTCCACGACCGCGTGAGCACGTCTGTATGTATGATTATGTATATATGTGTGTGTAAAGATATAGGTAGTCTTGATTGGCATGCATGCATTGAAAGGTGTCTATAACGACATATACACGCATGGGTGACTGTTGTCGGTACATTCGTACTGCACAGGCAAGGCTTGCACGAAGTCTGGTCTTGGCGATGAGTGTGTTCGTGCCTTTGTGTTTCTGCTCGGGTCTGCAAGTGTGCTTGCTCGCGCAAACATCAATGAAAGTATGGACGCACGCTTGCATGCAATGTGTATGCGTGTGGACTGACGGATGGCTGATGGCAGATGGCAATGGCATGTATCCACAAAACATTTATTTGTTTGGCTGGTGCTGCTTTGCACACCATGCGCCGTGGGCATGTGAAGCGGCATCAGTGCGAGTGCACACAAGTGCACCTGTAAACAGTAGCTCACTAGCGTGCGTCTGAAGCTTGCTTTTGTCCGGATCGCTTGTGAGCTTTCGCGCCCGCCAGTAGCGTGAATTGTGCATCGACACAGTAAACAATAGCCTGATAGCGGTTATACACAGGTTTTGCCTATAGTAGCGAGCCCATGGGTACGGAACACCAGAGGCACGCCAAACTTGACACAACTCCGACAACAACAAAACACATAGCAGGAAATCAAGCTTGTGATGGAGCGCCTCGGTGTAGATTCCGAGCAGGCCAGATCTTGCCGGGTTCGAGCTTACCCAATTAAGTGTCACTGAGGGTGCTAGCCTAAGTCGTCCTTCTAACAATAGTTTTGTTGTCTGGTGAGTCGGCGACCCAACATAGTGCGCAACACAGAGCCATGTCTTTAGCAGCCCTGCGCTGTCTGATAACTGCCCCTGACCACAGAGTTTTTTTCTGCACAAAGCCTCAAACCCCGACCTACTGCCACAAGCGCCCTGTGCAGGCACGCCAGGTCCTGTCAAAGGGTCTTCCACCAGGCCGACATGTTTTGCTTTTCGTGAGATTTGCAGAATGAAAATCAGAGCATTGAATACAGACACAAACAAGTACATCGGTAAAGTGTAGTAACCAGTTTGATACACAATACATGATACATATATACATCCATGCATACATACATACATACATACATAGATAAAGACATCATGTATATGCATATAAATGTACGTATATATATATATATATATATATATATATATATATATATATACATATGTATATAGCTGTATACTGTCGAGCGCGAGCGCCAAAATGTCTGTGTACAGTGTTTCAATACATTGCAGTCATAATCATCATGTTTGTGAGCATCTTCATCATCGCAGCGAAATACCTTATATTAACTACAATCAAAATTGACGTAATACGGAAAGACACAGGTGAGCAAGTATGTCAAGCACCTCGCTAACTACTTCGCTAGCTATCTAACTAGCTAACCAGGAAACTCACTCGATAACTCGATAAGTTAGGCCAACTCGAAGGCAAGCAAAGAAGCATGTCAGTGAGTACGTTTGCGGTGAATGAGCGAGTGAGCGAAGAAGCTACGTACGCAAGTCACTAGCTAAGCAACCTGAGTTGAGCGAGTGCTAAAAAGTTGCAAGCAAACCAACTAACTAACTGACTAAGTTACTGACCAAGCGACTGACTGACCCAACATAGCCAGCGACCCGAAGACTGTCCGGTGGACGTCCTGTCAGGATGGCTTGCATGCCGCACGGACGCGTCATGTCTGATCTAGGCATGGAAGAGCATGGCTTGGTAGCACTTTGGTAGCAGCTTGGTGAAGCACGCAAAACAGATATCACTGACAACACAGAGCAGTGAGCAAGCTTCAACTGTCAGTGATGATGTCATTCCACCATCCAGCACCTGAGGACGGCGAAGCCTACTATCACAAGCCCAGCACAGGCTCAATGCATGGATTCGGGGCGCATGGGCGTCGCCTACAATACACTTCTCTAGTACGGCCTTGTTCTTCGGAGATAATAGACTCGTGCACAAAATGGATGTGGGCATCCGTGGTGTCTGTCTGACTGTCTGTGTGACACTGTGTGAGCATCTGTGCACGTACGTACGTGTCTGTGTGTGTGTGTGTGCGCGGGTGTGTGTGTGTGTGTGTATGTGTTTTTCGTTATGCATGAGTTTGTGGGTGGAACTCAGTGGAACTCAATTATCCCGGCAGACCACTGTAATGTTCGTGCCTGTGCGAGTGCCAGCATCTCTCTCCCGACACGCACGCACACATACACACACATATATATATATATATATATGTATATATATATATACATGTTTATGACATACATTTACGTTATGTAGTTACGCATATACATGTACGCGGGCATGAGGGTGTAATGGGCTGCATGAAGACCATCCCAAGACTTTGGAGGATAGCGCCCTGTCGGAACACGCCGTCGATGCTTCTTCTTTCCTGTAAGACGGGAGTCGTTACAGAGGCTTTTAACTCAGAGAGGTCTAAACTTTCATCTCGTTCCCGTGAAGTGTGCATCTGGCAGGTGTATCGCAATGGCGACATCCTGGACGTGACGCGCAGTTTGAAAGTCCAGGTTTGGGGCTGCCCCACATTCAGCAAGGCAGAAGTCATGGGCCCACATCTTAGTAAAGAGTCGCAACCGGCAAAGACATGAAGAAGGCTTCGGTGGGTTCTTTGTGAAGCTGTAAGCAAATGCGCGGCTGTAATTCCAGACAAGCCATGCGACAGCACAGATGCCGATCTCAGGACTGGATACGTTCAGACATGAGCCAGCTGGTGGCCTCCCTCATGCGTCGCAAAGGTGCCGAGATGAGGGTTATGATGGCAATGACGGCTGCCATTGTGGCCATGATGTTGCTGCTTTTGCTGATGATGATGGTCGTGGCCAGTTATCGTGGTGGTGCAAGTGGAACTGGAGGTGGCGGAGGTGGTGGTGACGGCGGTGGCACCGGTACCGATTGTGCTGGTGCGGTGGTGCTAGTGGTGCTGGTGGTGCTGGTGGTGGTATGTCGTGGTCGCGTTCCTGCTCGGAGGGCAAGCGAGAATTTCACTTGGCACTGCAAGCCATGCATATGCCAAGAACAAGTGGCACACTGCACAATGTGGGAACGTGCTGCTCGTTCTTCAGCGATGAAGTTTGACAAGCTACCCGAAACACAACGAGACAAAGTCCCTCCGGACCAGAACATGCTTCCTTCTTGAGCCTCGAGCCACGATCTACACGATCTCGTCTTGTTGGAGCGTATCAGAGAGCTTCAGTGCAAGGTCGAGGCTGCGTTTGTCATGAATAGCGCACTCCCATGTGGGAGTTTCGCAAAACTAGCGTCACCTGATTTCGATAATTCTCCTGACTTCGGATTCCTCATAGGAGGGACTATAGGGTCGTAGAGTTCTATATAGGAGTTGTTGAGTTTCTTATACTCCCTTTCCGGCCATCTTGACAGCCTTCAACCCTGTCTCACTCAGCAGACCTCGAACCACATGCCGCTCCTGGATTGTCCGAGTGTGATCGCCGAAACAGTCATGCGGAGAGGAAGGATGGTCGACCGTACCAATTCGTATCGTTTGTTCTGGATTCTACGGGTCACAGTTTGTCTTTTCCGCCACACTACTGCTTGTAACATCCTCCGACATTCTTGCTGGAATCCGTCCCTACATTGTGCGAGTTTGCGAGTCAAAGCCCTAATCATCCAGGATCATCCTGGGTAGTATTAGGGATCTATTTTAAGAGGGACCTTATGGAGAGGGTCTATCTCCCCAAGGGTCCCCCTTGTCCTAACTCCTCTAATATTACTAATAATATTACTATAATTTTACTAGAATACCATAATACTATAATACCATTCTAACTCCTGAAACTATACTATAATAAAACTATGATATTACAAAAGTCATACTATAATACCAAAATACCATAATACTATAGTACCATGCTAACTCCTGAAACTATACTATAATAAAACTATGATATTACAAAAGTCATACTATAATACCATAATACCATAATGCTACAATACCATTCTAACTCCTGAAACAGCAGGAGAGCCTGGAGAAGGCGAGAAGGAAGAGACCTCGGCTGCTCATTCCGTCTACGATGCACGCAGCCGCCACGTTCCTAGACTGGAAGAAGCGGTTTGGGGGGTTTGGGGTCTAGGGTTAAGGGTTTAGGATTTAGGGTTTAGGGTTTGGGGGGTTTGGGGTTAAGGGTTTATAGGGTTTAAAGTTTTGGGGTTAAGTATCCAGTTTATACTTTTTTCGTTTGGGGTTAAGGGCTTTTAGGGTTTAGGGTTTGGGGTTAAGTATCCAGTTTCTACTTTTTCGAGGTTAGTTTTTAGGGTTTGGGGTTTGGGTCTACCCACAGGCCCCAAAGTAGTTCTTTTTTGGGGTTCATATAGAGTCCTAGAAGGTAATCCCAAAAAGGAACTACTATGGAGCCTATGGTTAAGTATGCAGTTTCTTTTTCGAGGTTAGTGTCTACTTATGTTGCAGTGGTTCCAAAAAAGATTGGAGTTCGAAGAGGTTAGGGATGCTGGTGCAGGTGGAGCTAGACACCCCTGACACTCTGTTCACCGCTGTGCCGAGCATCGTGCGCGAAGATGTCGTGCCACGGGCAGCACATTTGCATGTCAATTTAGCTTCAGGGTGTCGTGTGAACAACCCATGTCATTGTTAAGCTGGAGGTGTTTCAGCCGATGTCCCTCTCCCCGAGCAGGTTCAAGGAGGAAACACTAAGCCCCAAGCCGGCAGAGCTTTGGCACTTCTAAGTTTATTCCGTGTGACTCTGCACCACGACAGCCAGCGATCAGATCCTTTAGCTGTACCCCAATCATGCCTTTGCTCCATGCATCAAGAGGATCCCAGCTTTGACAAGGTGGTGGAAGAAAAAAGAGATGCAACGTTCCCTGAAGCATATTTTTGTGCAACCTCAAGTTTTTTTCCGGGCCCTTAAAACCTGACCGGCAAGGTTGGCCGGGCATTTGCGCTCCGGAACATCCTCACGCCGGCGGAAGCTGCAACCTACGTAGCCTCAGCCCAGACACCAGCCTAAGGTTTACTTAGCTTTGGTTAGTAGGCATGGAGGAATGGGGTACAATTATAACTACCGTTACTACCATTTTCCATTCCCTACAAACCAAAGGTAAGATGAAGGGTGAGGTTCGGGTCGCAACGACTTGTAGACAGGCTGAGGGGTTCACAGATAAGTCCTGAGTGCTGCCAGTAGCTTGTGCATGCCGAGGGGGTTGTCATCAAAACCGCGCTGTTATCTCAAGTTCTAGCCAAACTCGCAACTTCTTTTGTCTCACAAGCGGATGCACAAGGAGAAGCGGCTTTGGCCACAGCGACGTGTCACGGGAGTTCCCGGCATCGCTGCGGAACAACTCGCGCCTGATCCACTTCAGCGATGCGCTGGCTCTAGCCTTGCGCCTTGGCTGGCAGGGTACCTCAGAAGTCTCCATTGTAGTTCCTTTAGTTTGTGTAACTAACCGATCTGGTAATGATTTGGGAGCATATACAGGTGACCCTGAAAAGGAACTACAATGGAGACTGTAGTTGAAGCAGTGCTCAGCTGGCCTGCGAAGAGCATGCCGCTTTCAACGAAACACTCGAGGGTAAGCACGACTCTTGACTCTGGCGTTCCTCTGGCATGTCAACTCCTCCGACTTGGCCACGCATGTCTGACTGGAGGTACAGACGGCTAGCACCCTACCTTGCGCATCGCGACGTGCCTGGGAGAACAGTACCGGTGCATGCTCGATTGAGGGGTTCGAAACTGGTCAAAGTCTGGGGCTGTCGACGAAGTTTTTCACTGTTTGAGTGAAGTGTGTGAGGATCTAGAGTTCCCGGGCATCGGATGCCGTGGCACTCGAACCCAGGGATGGATGAAGCTTTCATGACCCACCCTATACCCGGCAGCTTTGTGGGCTGGGGCTGCAGCTAGCCAAGGCCTAGCATGCAAGCTTCGCGTAAGCTAGTTCTGCAGGAAGACGTCGGAGAGCGCACCTTATCGACCTAGCTCAACAGCACTGCAGACAGACTACCGTTTGCACTGGGGTACTTTCGGTCTCAAGCTGAGTCGGCTTTAGGATGCGATGAGAACTTGCTAGAGCTGTCGCACTCGGTCAAATGGAAGATTTCCATGCGCGGGGGCCTGTTCCCTCAAGCTTTTCAGCAGAAGGTTCAGGGCTCAGAAGCTAAGCTAGCTGAGCATTTCAGACTTCATAATTCGAAATGCATGATACAAGCACGGAACAAGTCAAGTTCAGGTTGGGTGTGCACATCTAGCTGAAGCTTCAGGACATTGGGGCCACGATATCCTGCCGAAAGCCAAGAGACCTCGCTAGCCGTGAACCGTAAAACACCTGCTCTTGTTGCTAGGGAGGTCTTAGAACGCATCCTGCACTATGCAGCCAGGACTCGACCACGTTGATATGATTTTCAGCCTGAACTCCAAAGCCGCAAAGACACAAAATCCCTCCAGTTGCCCCAACCCTCGCCCCGGGCCTCATGACATGATCCACTTCCCCCAGACTCAGACTCCCTAAACCCTAAGCCGCCCTAAGACCCCTTTGAGGTGTATCTCGTGCAGCCGATGGGCTTTGGGGTCGAGGGTCGATGGCCTCGTGGCTGCTTCGGATGTCAGAGTAGCGATCTGCTTTTGAGCTCGTTTGGGCTGATGGCTCCACAATTCACGGCCGACGGAAGCACGGTTTTTGGGGTCAAAGTGGTTAGTTTAGAGAGTTTTAGTTTAACCAAGTACCTGCGGGGCTGGATTACAAGGTAAGAAGTCTTCGATGTCATGCCTTTCATCGGAGGTTCGTTCGTTATCGATCCATGCATGGAAACACATTGCACAAAAGACGTCCCGCGATTCCAGAATCCGAAGCTTCCCGTTCTCTTGTCACCCATTATTAACTGTATTGTGTATGTATGCATGCATATATATATATATATATATATATGTAGGTATGTTTATATGTATGTTCGAAAACATGGCTACGTACTGCTGTATGTCACAGCTGTCCGTGGCCACTGCAGGAAGCCCGTCGGCATCAATCCTTGCTTTCGCATTTCGCAGTACAAGGATTGCCTGGCTTAAGTAGGCTCTAATTAGTGATGTAGGGCTTTTTACATGGAGGTTTCGTCTTCGAGATCACTCCTATCTGGGGCGGATAGATAGATGCTTCAGTCCTGGAACAGAATCTTCATCCTGTATGGTTTGTAAAGTCAGGTCTAGGAAATGTGTTGGAAAACCAACTGACAGCTCCGAAACGGATTCAATGATGACAGTGGCCCGAAGTGGCCCCTTGTCGAGACATGTTCAATGGCCACGGCAAAGTCCACAAAGTCGCAGCTGCGTACGTCCCTTGCCCTGCAGGAGGGAGAGCACTTTGCCACTCACTGCGATGGGATGTATGCTAACGACAACGACGAGTGCAGCATCTACTCCGTCGTCCTCTACTTGAACGAGGCTCGGCACACCCACCAAGCTTGCAGTTTGTCACTTGAGGTGTCGCCCTGAGTTGATTCAGCGACGTCCCTGCCATAGCCTCTGCAGATTCCGACAACCGAACTGAATATGGCATGTTTGCTTTCGGCAAGTGTGCAGAGTTTCGGACTTGGAGCTGTTCACATGCAATGTCAAAGCATCACGGAAGCACAGACACGGTAGAGACTTCAAAACCGACAGCGTGCAATCAAGCACAAGAGATAGTTGTAAAGACGGTTTGCTCGGGCCTTCGGATTTGGTTCAGAAGCTGGCTTTAGATTCTTCTGTGCATCATGTCCCCACAGGAGAAGTTTTCGCACCCACCGGCGCATGTGCGTGTTCATGACACCGAGCCTGTGTCTTAATCTTGAAACAGGCCGAGCAGGTCCTGCATAACATAGGAGCCTGAATAATTACCTATACTACTGTGGGGGTTCCTTATTATAGTCATACTATCAGGGGTCCCAAAACCCTATTCTAATTATTACGGCCCCTATAGTGCCCCAAGCCCCGCAGCGCCCTAAGCGTGAAGTCGGCCCTGTACGATTCGATTTAACTAGGGCAGGTGTCGGGGCTTTCCGTAAGCTCTAGCATCCCCAACCTGAAGAAGGACTACGACGGTGGTGAGCTTGAATTCACCGACTCCGGCAAACGCTTCCGGCCCACAGCCGGCACTGCAGCACCGAAGCTGCAAAGAAGGATAGGTACATACACATACATACATATAAAATTACATGTATGACAGGTGGGTGTGTTTTTTCAGCTCTGGGAGGAGAGCATCGGAGCTCAGGTGCTCCTTCCACACGACCTTCCACATGCTGGACTTGAGGCCGGATCTTCCCAAGCCTGGAAAGACACGTACAATGTGTTATAGTCGATTGCAGTATAGCATATTAAACGGCATATTGTAGTATGTTGTAGTAGAGTAGATTTTCGTATGTTCGTTCAAATATAGCTTGGTGGTATGAGCAGGAGCTTCAATTCTGAATGGCTGGCTTTTTTCTCAGCTCCGCTATGAAGCAAACCCCGGTCTAGCTGCAGGACTGTGAAATCGTAGATTCGGTGGCTTTTTAAAGAGCCATTGTTCACACGTGTCCCAAGAGACATCGCTCAGACAGCTTCGTGCATTTAAAAGACCCACACTACAATCCTACCAAAACTGATGTTGCATGTACAGCCACTCGAGTTCTGTTGAACAAAAGACTTTCAGAACTGCAAAATGTCCGTGACCATATATCCACACAACTGGTGATTTCATTTATTGGCCGAAGAAAAAGCCGCAGCATGTAGTTGCTAAAGCTGCACAGTCTCCCATTCATTGCTTTCCCGCTTCTTTCATGGCCATGGCAGGTCAGCAAGGGCATCAAGTATGTGGCCCGGACCGAGTGGCTTGGATGCAGAACACTACAAGACTCTCGCAAGGCCTAGCACCGCGCCTGAGATCGTTGCCCCATGCCGAACGCGATGTTTTGGTCCTGGTATGTTCTGGTCACCCCTGGCAGCTGGTGCACGCCGACGCGTGGTACCCGGCACAGTGTGCTCCACACTGCAGGCTCATGTTCCGCTGCGTGGATCGCCGTCCCCCGCCGGCGATTCCAAAGCATCTGGGCCAGTTTATAATCCAAGTCTCATCGTTGTCATGCCTATTCTTCGCATCATGGACCGCGGTTCGTTCTTTGACCGCTTCCCTGCCCTAGAGTCCAGCAGCCCTCATACCCTTTTCTGCTTTCCCAGCCCCGCACACTGTCTCTTTGCCCTCTTGACGTTTCGGCTCCTGGGTACTGCCTGGGATGTTCGAAGATCCTGTGACCCCTGCTCGACTCAGTTCCCGTACCGAAGGCTTCGATAGTCGAGTTGCAGCACGTTTACATGTGGCACTGTTGAGGTATGCTGACGACCCCTTGTTCAAGCGCATGGCGATGCTTTGCAGCATTCTAGGTAAAGACTGGGATACACAAGGGTGGCAGCCCGAAGGCTGTATCAAGAATCAAGGCCTCAGAGACGTGTGAGATTTGTATGCGGGCCAGATCCGTGAACGCTTAGAGGCCCGATGCCGAATTACTCCGACGACTTGCTGAAACGAACCGTGGCGGACCCATGCAGTCATGAGATGCCAGCATGCTTACACAGCACCTCTCCTGAAACGCTCCTGAACTCTCATGCCCTACAAGGGTCCGAAGCAAATTTTTTCCCAGGACAGATATGTAAATCTTATGACGAACCCGAAGATGTAAAGTTTTTGGGGCGAGGCAAACTCGAGGCCCAACCCTAAACCCCTAAAACCTATGTGGAGCCTTGCCTGCCTTTTGTGCGAGTGTGAGCGTCGAAACCCCTAAACCCCTAACCCCAAAACCCTAAACCCTAACCCCTAAACCCCTGAACCCTAAACCCCTAAACCCTGAACCTCTACTGTAAACCCTAAACCTCTAAACCTCTAAACCCTAAACTGAGTTTGAGCGCCGAAACCTCCAAACCCTAAACCTACAAGCCTGCAGCCTTAAGGGCCCTCTACGAGCAGATCGGGGATCTGGCTGCAAAGGGAGATGCCACAGTGACCACCCAGGCCTATCAGGAGGCCGCTGGGACGTGCTGGGTCCCTGTATGGGAGTTTCCGGAAATTAGGGGGACCAATTTTGGGGCCCTTATACTTATAATACGGATCCTACTATTCAGGATAGTATATTAGGGTCCCCAATTTTCGGAAACTTCCATATCTATCTACCTGTCGGTCGACCTGTGTATATAATTAGTGTGTTACAGTTGCAAGGTTTGATTTACAAGTTATACGGATAAGCTATATACCTGCATTATTAACTATATTCTGTTATATATATATATATATGTAAACATACGTACGCATATACATACCTACAGCATACACATACATGCATACATGCACGCTTACATGCACCCTTGCACGCATACATACACTATGTTTTCAATAGTATATAGCTCTGTGTCATGTATAATTGGCTTACAGTCTAAACTCCATCTGCGTGGTTGTATGATGCACATTTTGTTAGAGGTCGCTAACTGCATTTTACACATGGTGCATCTTATGTGGCCCACTATAGATCATGTGCTATGTATTGTATCTTGTCAGATTGAGTATATAGGCTCCGAGAAGTAAGATTTGAATGATGCAGTGGTGCAGACACCTGTCGTCCTGCACTGCGGGTAAGAAATTTCAGCGCAGTCCGTGGTCGAAGGGCTGTGAAGCAAATGTCGAAGTCAAGATGTGTGACCCAATCTGCTCCGAAACACGTTTGTGCTACGCATTGTATCACATAGGCGAAATAAGTTTGGAACGACAGAATTTAGTTGGCCAGGCGCTTGGCCTTCAGATTGCACACCAGGGCACCGATGCCAAGCGACGTGCCACGAGACCCCTTCCCTTCGAGGACTCAGTGCACTTTGTGTCGTTGGCTTACACATCTTGTCGATGAATGGGTGAAGGATTCACCGCTGAACCCAGCAGATAGACCCCTTTGCAGAAAGGCTGCCGCAGGGAGCTTAAGTTCGGATGGTGAGCCTTAACCCCCCCTCCCCCCCCGGGTTCTGGGAGCCCAAGCTTGCGAAGTGCGCAGGACAAGTCATTGGAGCACATCCTTGGCTTTCTGCATCCTCTGGAGGTACCCATCCTCAGGGTTAGGGTGGTGGCAGGGCGGAGGCGCTGAGGGCAGTTATGGGCTTCCAGCGTAGAGGGCTTGTGGTCTTGATGGGATGGCCGGGATGATGTTGCGGCTCAGTGTGTGCAGTGCGGTCGGGAGGGTTTTTGGAAGTAATTATACGTACGTTGACATACACGCATACGTTTGAATGCAGGTGCTTTTGTCATCTCAGCAACCACAGTTTGGCTCTCCTGGTGTGGTAGTCGGGGCTTGCAAATGGAATCGGCAGCGGCATGCATTGCACCCAAGGTCGCCAACAGCTCCTCTGTATGCTTCAGATGGCGCAACGTCACACTGGCAGGCATGACTTCATTTACTTTGCTGATGTTGTTGTGGTTGTTGTCGGCGTCATCGACGTCTGCACTGCTGCCGTCAGATTGCCGGCCAGTTCAGAGGCCCGTTTTACCTTCTGTGTGCCATGAAGCGTTTCTCTTTATTGCGCTACTTGCTTCTCTCCGACGACCACCTGCCCCCTGATGTGCCTTCTATCAACATCGGCGATCACAGCGAACCGAGAGTTCCATGAGACCAAACTGCCGGTGGGCAGGTGCACTGTGGCAAAGCTTTTGCCAACTTCGATGGCCAGATCATAGTGAAGTGTTGGAAGGCGCTGGCGGCAGTGCACGGAGCATGAACATGCACTGTTTCATTAGCGAGAATGTTGCGACGCAGGTTAACGTTTACAGGACCTGCAACAGGTAGTCAACATCAGCAGCGTGTCCTCATCGAATCTTGCAACCAGACGCCAGCACAGCTAAGAGCTGCTCATACTATCTTCATTGCAAGCTTGAGGCCTGCCCGGATGTGGCATGTTCGAACATAACTGCGGAAGTTCCAAAGATGACATGACATCGGCGAATATCACGAGCGAGCTAATATCGATAAGCCGAGGACATATCGTGGAGTCGTGAAGGCTTCTTAAAGTTCGTTCCGAGAGCTTATGCAAGCTACGATTTAGGGTGCTGGGTCTAGTTACGTTTGTCAGGAGTCGCCTATGGCTTGGAGCCAGAGTTGAAGGAGCGCTTGCGGGTGTTCCGGGGGAGGTTTCGGGAAGTTTAGCTTGACTGCAGTTCTGCTCCTGCACATGCGCCAGAGCTACTTGCAGGTTAATCTGCATCATGCGAAGCCAGTGGCTGATTATTGACTGCTAAGGTTGTCTCATCTTTGACCGGGTTACGTCTCCATGCGAGGTCCGAGTTCCCGCTGGCCGTCGTCGTCGTAGACGTCGTCTTCTTCGCGTCCATCCGTTGCAAGTACTCAGACCCACATGCCCACTGGCAGATAAATTGAGACACACACACACACACATGCGCGCGGGTGTCAATATGCACAGACCGTTGGCAGGACTGGATGGGCATCTACCGACGGCAACACATCCTCGAAGGAAGTGCTCCCGTTTGTCACCTGCCGTTGGATTGTTTAAAACCCTGGAGCCCCCGAGATCAGGAAAGTAACTGAAGCACTGGCTGCCTCCCCTGAAACCTCTCTCTAAAACATTTGCGTGGTTCTCGCTGTTGCTGCCACGATGTGGATACTGCTGCCGGTTGTCGTTCTTGTTGTCGTGGTCGTCGTCGTCGTCGTCGCTGTTCTTGTCGTTGTCGTTTTGTTGTTCGTGGTCGTGGCTTGTGCCATCGGCATCGTCATCTTGCTGTCGTCGTCGTTGTCGCCACAGCAGCTGATAGGTGTCGACTGCCGCAGGGCACCAAAGCAAGCTGGTACTAGGATCCACGTAGCGTCCCAGACAAAGGTTGAATCAAACGATTGAGGCACGCGCAGTCTGACTCCTGTTTACTCTGGGACCCTTGGATCACCAAAGAGACTCCAAAGGTGTGATTTTCCTGGCCTCCACTGTTCAATACTGGGCAGACGGAGCTGCAAAGCAGGAGAAGAGAAAGGGCTTAGGGCTTGCCTCTTGCGCTTGGGTCCATTTGTCCTTGGTGCAGGGTTGAAGTTCGAGTTCTGTTGGGATTTGTCTGTAAGCACGGTGAAACCCAGGGTGCAGTCAAACCTCTGAGCCACGAACTGACCGAACCGCCGTATCTGTGTATAGCTGATACCTAGAGGGCCCCAATACACCGGAACCCTCCACAAAAGCGCGCTCTCGTCGGAGAGTTGGGTCCACCATGGCTGTCGGCCGAGATGCACGCCCCTCTACATTGTCGATCTTGCTTGGAGGTTCAGGGGTAGTCATAAGTGGGGTTATAAGTCCCTTAATATGGGTTATAAGTATAGGTACCCTACTTATAACCCTACTTATAACTACCCATGAATTTCCAAGTGTGTATGATTCCAGGAGACCCCCGTGCCGGCCATTTTCTCGCATGATCTCGATGGCATTGGCCTCCTGCTGCATCCAATACCTAGCAGTGGAGTAGGTAACCTTTAACTTATACGGGCCACTATAATCCCTGTATAATCCTATATATGTACTCCCAGAGTTAGCCACTATAACTATATAATACCAATACACTCCCAAAGCTAGCCTTTATGTAGTTCTCCGGGGTACTGGACAAGTGGGATTCTGACCTGAACGCGGCTTTGACTCCCCGTCCCCATTTCTTCGGCATCCTGACAGTCGTCTACCAAGCAGGGCCACAATGAATCCTTCAGCTTGCCCGTTTGTATTCATAATAACAAGATTAGTCATGTAAGAAGAATGATAAGAAGAATATTCGTATGTAACAGTCAGACAGGTTGGATACTTCCATTTGACTGACAGTTTATGGGAAGTGGCGATACCGACAGCGCACGAACGTCAGTGGCAAGCCAGACTTGAAGAATTGGTAGGCGCGCTAGATGCCAACAGACTTTGTCCACGCTTATCTGGTGCAATATGCCTGTTGCTGACTTACAACTCAGGCTTCACAAAATAATGTTGGTCCCTTCTGTCACGTTCTTTTTGGATTCTCTCGGGTATAACTGGGGGCCCGGACTCTGTGAAGACCTCACTTCTTATTGGCTGCAAACTCAACTTTTCAACTGGTGGGGTTATTATAAGGTGGTCGATTCTGAAAGTTTCAACTTTTGTTTCCCTGTGGTTTGGGCCAGTGAGACTTCCCGAGGATGGGACTCCTCCTTCAAGCAAAGAGTTGGCTGGAATTGCGGTGGCAACCACTGGTGCCGGAAGCGATTCTGGTCTCTTGGTCTACTTGGAGGTTCAGGGGTAGTTATATGTGGGCTTATAAGTCCCCTAGTATGGGTTATAAGGATAGTTACCCTACGTGCAACCCCAGTACCCATGAACCTCCAAGTAGGGTTTAAGGCTTCATCCACCCCCGCCTCCTACCTCCACTCCGTGGAGGGAACTTGATCGAAGGGTGTCGTGGAGACTGGAGGCTTTTCTCAGGTGGGAGTTTCCGAAAATAGGGGTACCTTATTTAGGGGTCCTTATAATAAGGATCCTACTATTTAGGGTACTATATTTGGGTCCCCTATTTTCGGAAACTCCCAGGTCGTTCAAGGTTATGTCACAGTTGTGTATCCATGGCTGGCTACACGAGGTTGAGGGTTTCCAGCACTTCTTCAGATGTGGTGATGTTTTCCAGGTCTTCAGTGCTTGGGTGCAGTGGCTACAGCTGGAGTTCTATGGGGTCATATTGGAGGTATTACCTGTTAGATGATGAAATACCTGCTCAAGGGGATCTTCTGTGCCGGTTGCAGATCGCATCTATCGCGACTTCGGCTTCATTACAGTATTCACGGGCGCTAATTATCATATGGCTTCCAGGTTCGTCGGGCGCCTCCGTGTTTCAGATGCTTAGGGTTTCTGCCGCGAGTGCAGCAGCTCTGAGATCCGGGCGGCCGCATGTATAAGTCTGTTTGAAAAAAGGCTTGACCTGAAAAAGATGCTGAACAAGAGGTTGAGCTCAAGTCCAGATCGCTGAAATGTCAGAACAACTCATGCACAGTGACTGTTTTGCACAGCCATAGCTTTTCCTGTTTATACATAGTTTACATACAATATACTATCAGCATTCCCAAATACATGTTTTCATTATTGCATGCGGTCTTTTCATGCAGTCAGTGTACAAAGAATGCAAATTCAAACAGGCACATCGGTGGAGTATATGTGTAAGGCTTACAGTTACATGTAGGGTCATGAGTCATGCACGCAAACATGTAACACACGGATTTGAAGGAATACTCAGGCCCTACGCTAAGCCCTTGTAATGTAGTAGCCGTGCAGGAACCCTGTTCTATTCAGGCAGCCACCTACCCCAATCCCGTAAAGGAGTGCTGTACAGGAATCCTATCACAAGCATTAAAGCCCTTATCTTAAGAAGCCCTATACGGGTGGTTGACAACTACACATATCCCTCAAGGGAACCCAAGTATATACTCTATGGGTCCCCTTTCTGGGTGCCCTAAATTTTGGGTGCCGTATTAAAAATAGGGACCCAAAAAGGGGCCATAAGTTTGACAACCACCCATATGGGTACGTGGAGCCTTAGGGATAAGATGTCGCAAACACGGCTTCAGAGTCTGGTCTAAGGCACGGCAACGCACAGGTCGCTTGGCTTCAGCCAGGGTTCAGGGCTTGCAAATATGTATACACATACATATTCGTGTATATATATGTATATATGCATACACATATGTGTACAAACCCACGTTTCTTGCCTATAGGTTCTGCATGGAGTGCGTGTGGTGCAGCACCCAATCGGTTGGGAACGCAGCTGGAATCCCAATGCATGGGTGGTTGATTTTCCTATCGAAAATGGCTGGGCTATTTAGTTGTTCGCTGTACAAGTTGCAACGCTCACAAGACACTGCCATGTTGACAGCCCCAGTGGACCTGACTATGTGCATACATACATACACACACACACATACATGCAGGTACATTGCTGTATTCGTTTATGGATTTATTTGGTGTTATGTCTCTGCTTATTCACCTACACTTACACGTATTTTGTTTATTATGTAAACATAGGACCTTTCATTACGAAAGCAATGACAACACTGTCAATGAGCATATCAATAACAGCCATATTATCAGCCAGCGCTAGATTCAGGATCATCTGATGCCATCAGCAATAAACACACACACACACACACATACATACATACATACATACAGGGCGAAGGGGCCAAGAGCAATAACAATATTGATAGTTGACAGTATAATAGCCATGGCAGAAGTAGCAACGTGAACATGAGAACAGGTTTCTTTAGAGGAATGCAACTCATAAGCAGCAAACAGCACTATCTTCTTCCTTTCTTGCCTGAGACCTGTGATTGTTGGGCCCCACATCACTTCCAGAAAAGTGGTAGAGTTGAGGCTCGGTGTTCTTTCGACGAGTGTCCTATGCCCTCAGGCGCTCAATGCGCGGAGCCGTGAACGACCATTGCGGGGTGGATATGCTTTTGAAGGCCGGCTCTGCATCCGTGCCTGGGGTTTCACGCTGGCTAAGACCTTTGCAGCTTCGGCTTCGTAAAGTGATTGTGCTTCTAATTACTGTACAGAAGCAGCCAGTCTGAGGCTGTGTGAGCTCATGCTATGCACGGACGCCATTTTTAAAGTCAGCAATACAGGACGAATGGGACAAAACAGCAGACAGACATGAAGATAAGCCGCCAGTTGTATTGAAGCTGTCGAAATCCAAGCGCAAATGCTGCAAGGAAGCACTTCACGTAGTGACGAGTACACGATGCCCGATGTTGGCAAGGCAGGTTATTTGCACAGCGGCTGATTGCTTTGGTTCACGGTGTTGCAATGCTGGATTCATTGCATTCTTATGCTTGGGTGTAACCATGCTCAACATTTGTGGGTGCCGATGTTGGTCCTGCCTGTGGAGAGACAGTTGGGTCAAGAGCTCAGCGTAAGGCTTTACGAGCAATGCAAGACAGACTCACAACCAGCGCGTGGCAGGTCGACTTTCAAACAATGGCAGAGGCATTCTCTTGGGCATTCCGAAAGGTGGGAATCAGGCAGGGAGACACAAAAAAGGTTCAAGCGCAGAGCCTCAGAGTGTCTCAAGTTGCCGATTGTGATTGTTCTTTGGGGGTGTTCGTTTTCCCTTCAGCTGCATAGCCTTCTCGTAAGGCAGGACGCGAAAACAAAAGTCTTCCCGAGTCATAGCTTCCCCGCCAATTATCCAGCTGTTTGTCCTTCAGGGCGACCGACTACCGGCTGGTTGTCCCGCTATTGCCGGGCTTGCTGAAGCAGACGGGCAACTTGGCCGAAGCGCAAAGGGTCAGGAAATCTAGGGGCTTGAATCATTCTAGCAGCGAGCTGGGGACATATTTTCGAATACTCCTTGAGGACCACTACAAAGAATCGTTACGGCCCCTCACAGTCTTCGAAAACTCGCGTGGGGCCCAAACGGGTCTCCATCAGCCCTCACTGCGGCTTTGCTAGAAAGGCGGCCGGATCTCCATCAGTGGAATTGCTTCCGAAAGCCTTGCTGGATCTTCAATACCGTTTTTACAACCTCGGGCAGCAGTCCGGAGAAAGCGCCGACAGTCGCATTCCTTTTAATACCAGTCTGGATGCAGTCGATGAAACTCGGTACACCCGAACTGGTCGGGGAGCAGCTGGCGGTGGGTTCGGAGAACACAAGAGTGTCACGTTGCGGGGCCTCAGAGGTCGCGCGCGGCTGGCCCAGATACTGACGCAGCGGTTTGAGGCGACCTGTTCAGCATTAGATGCTGTCGCTTTGTTGGCAACCCTCTGGGGGACACTCGTGTGGCCACACGTGTGCTCACACACTCACAAGCACACCCAAACACGTGCGTTGCATGTAACATCGCTCAGTGTATGAACTGATGTCTGTATACTCCTCTATAAACGATTTTTTGTACACGTATATCTTTGTCTGTACGCACATCCCTATGTAGGTTTGTACCTCTTCGTGTGTATGTGTGCATGCATGTGTACCACTTCCCAAGTCTAGAGTCTAGAGGCTGCAGGACCAAGACCTCAAAACCATGGTGGCTTTGGGATCTGCCCAGAAATGGAGGCAGCTTTTGTGTTGTTCCCCTAACCCCTAAACCCTAAACTCTAAAGCCCTAAGTAGGAGGGAAAAGCCTTACAAGCCTAAACCCTGAAGCCCTGAACCCTAAGCCGTGTTCCCAGAATGGAGATGGCCCCCACCACTCACCTTTCTGTGGATTCCGTCTTAGCAGACAAGTTCAGATAACGTCGGCAACCCTCCATGTCCAAACGCATCTTTCGAGACCTCCTGGGAGGCGTAATGTTCAAGCCGTAAAGAATTCACATCCAGAAGCCCAATGTTTGATCTCTGCGCTGTGGGAGAGTTTGACCGAACAGTAAGTGCCAAATCCCCTCTGAAAGGACCCCTCGAACAAAGCCTACAACCTATATCCTTCAACCATACCGAACATGCTCCGTGATGCGAGCCTCGTCCTTGCTATGTAGGAGGGAAAATCTTTGAACCAACTCCTAAAACCGTACGAAGGATTTGTTCTATCTAGTTTCATTATTCCGCATATAAACATGTAGATAGTGTAGGTCGATAGATAGATACAAACACTTTCTCGTATGTATATTATACATAAATGCATTCGCCCCCATAAACTCCCTTTTTGAGCTGAGGTTCCTCGGCTCTCCTTCGTCGACGCGCCCCTCTGCGCTCTGCATGCGCGAGGGCTCAAAACTGGGACTGTGATCTGGGGTGAGGAGCTGAGCAGGCCCGGGGCTTTTTCAGGGTTCAGGGTTTAGGGCTTTAGGGTTTTGGGTTTAGGGGTTTAGGGCTGAGGGCTCGATTTTGGGGAGGATTTTGACCTGTAAGTTTCTTCGTGCAGACGAGTATTGAGAGTTCAGAAGAACGGAGAGGCCTGAAGGCTCTTCAGTCTATGGAGACCATGGTGTGGTCTGCGTCCTGTGTAAAAGCGTATAAGGATGAACAGAGCATCCCACAGTGGGCTTTCGTAGTGGCTTTGGTATAGGGATGCGTCTGTCCAGGCATCAGGTGCAGTACAACTTGCGAAGCGTCCTCCTACTGGTATCACGTGCTGTGCAAGTTGTGAATCTTGGGCTTGTTTGGAAATACGGCTGCACGGCTGCGTCATTCTCCGAATTGACAATGAAGGCCGTATCGAGCCCAGAGACAGAAGTGTCCACTGGTTCAACGCACGGACCTTCCACGTGAAGTCGAACTTGGTCAAGACTTCAGAAAGCCGTCCGCAGGTCAGCCGTGTTCTTCTACATGGATGATGAAGAAGTGCTGGTGTCCCAGGCCGCTAAAGCAGTCGTCATCGATGTTGCTCCGACTTGTCTGAATAGGTCAGTCCGTCGTAGTTAGTGGCACGTTGGTTTCAGTACTTTTGGAGTGGGAGCCGTAGCGCTTTCGGAGCACGTGCGTTTGCCATGGCCCTCCGAAAACTACGTATTCTTGCTACCTGCAAGTATGACTACTTTGCTTCGCTCAAAGCACTGCACACTGGACGTTTCGCAACATGGTGGCAACCCGGGTTGCCAAAAGCATACCTGAAGAAGATCTCAGCGCTTTCGGTAAAGACAAGAGGAAATCCTACGTGCAAGATCCTCCAGCGGCTGTCCAGTTTTAAGGGTCGCCCAGGCCGCTGCGAGGCAAAACGACGCATGCCAGCACAGAGAAAGCTAGCAAAGCAAAAGGTCACAGCATGGCACGTCGCTGCGTTAGCTTGATCTAAGGACCCTCACGGTTCTTCATGAATGGAATTCCGAGCCCAAAATTGCGATCCAAAGCTCCAGCAATACTGTCATCATCATGGTCATCGCCAGCATTGAGCATCATCAGCGGCAATTGCACCATGACCCCAAAGTTTTCACCACAATTGTCTTCTTCACCAGCCTCACCACCAGTCCGGCCATCACCATCACCGACAGTATCATCTCTACAACGTGTTTTTTCTAGTACATCACCATCATCATCAGCATCGCCGAAATCATCGGTAGGCAGACCTTCGACGTTAGTGGCCCGCCCCCTCCTCGCTATCCACCCTCCTCACAAAAGCCCAAGCTGAGCAGTCCAGATAGATAACCCCCCCACACCCCTCGCTACACCCAATCCTCGCGCAAAATTCAGCCCTGCAAAGACTGCTCGATTGAATGGACCGCTAGCCGAAACCGGAGCTCATGTTCATTATACCAGAATGCCCGATGGTGAAATGTACTTCAAGTCTGCAAAATGCCATGCGCTCAGGCATTTGTCCTGCCATTATGTGCCACTGCAACCCGCTACAAAACCATATCCGATGTATGTGTGTATATGTATGTATGCATATATATATGTATGTGTATGTATATATATATATATACATACATACAGATGGCAGGAGATAGCCTTCGGCACTAACGACCAGAAGAAGCTGCCCTTTCTGACTGCCAGATCGTGTACCGTACAACGACCTCGATGTACTATTTACGCCTGAAAAACAAACATGCACGTGACCATGGTAATGAGCATGAACAACATGAAGACGAAGATGAAACATGATAACAATGGTAAGAGTAGTAGTACTACAACCTAGTCTTCATCATCATCTTCTTCCTACTGGCATTGATGATGCTGACGATGACGACACACTCTTCGATCGATTATCGCCTTAGGAGCACCAGTCCTTCTTGTGTATTTCGGTGCCTCCATGTCCGGCTGCAGGACTTCCAGTTCAACTCGGCCACCGTGACCGGGTGCGAAGGGTTTGGGCCTAAACTCTAAACTGCGTCGGTTTCTAAACGAGTCCGGCCAGGCGAGCCTGATCTTGCGATCTCTGGAGTTAACGATCCGGCTTTGAAGGTTGTCTATTCCTATAAACCCCAAACACGGTTTTAGAGTTTGAGGGTGTGAATTGGGGGGATATGGCTTTTTAAACGCATATGCATCCACATAATCTGCATATGCTTTGAGGGACACACACGCCCTATGCAGGCGGGCATACAAACCTGTACCTGAAACGTATACACAACTTCGCTGCTTATCTAATAACCATCAATGTAGCATGTGTTTCCCTAAGATCCACATGCATGTTTCTCTGTACGTAGTTCTAGTGTTGTTCGCTGCTTGCATGCATCAACACCCCAGGTTTCTGTATCAGCATGTAGGTATTGAAGCCTTTACCCACCTGCGCGCAAAAGCATTCACACGTGCTTTTTGTTTTCAGTGTTGGGCTAAGACTGGATCAGAAGCTCTCCAACTGGGGGTCCCGCAATGCTTATTGAGCGTGGCAACTCTGGGTTTAGGTTTTAAGTATTAAGAACCAACTCATGTACTGTTTGTTTAATTGCGCGATGGGATCTCGTTGATTTTTGTCATGGGGCATTGTTGCTCTAAGCCTGCAACTGTAGGACAGCAGCTTGTCCCAGAGATACCACCCCCTTCCCAATTCTGCTGTAAGTTGCGGGCTCGTGTGCCTCATCGAACCCTCAACCCAGTCACCCTTCGGGCGGTTCAGGCTTGAAGGTTTGAAGCCTGAACGTAGAGGTTCTATGTCCTACGAAGGCGTCTCTCTCTCTCTCTCTCTCTCTCTCTCTCTCTCTCTCTCTCTCTCTCTCTCTCTCTCTCTCTCTCTCTCTCTCTCTCTCTCTCTCTTTCGATACACATGTATGCGGCATGTTACATGGCCAGGGGGAACCAGCAACGAGGTTGGCACAGAGATCATAGAGTCTGCGGCTGCGGGTTCAACTTCCTCTTAATATGTTTCTCTGTGTTTCTCATGTTGCATTGAGCCAGTCCTTTTCCAGTCAGATTCTCTCCTACTTGTACTCGAATTGGCAAACCGGACCCAGCCGAGGTAGAGGACGTGGTCTCGCTTCTTACGGAGGCAAGAAACTTGGGCCCCGACACCTGGGTGACTTCACTGAAACTTTTGGGGCCCGAGGGGAGGTAGCCGCTCTATGCGTTCGGTTTTTACGATTTGTCTGAGCGCGCCCTTGCGGGAATGTGCTTGCCGAGCGCCGAGGCCACTGTGCTGGCAGACGTGGTTTTGTCGCCACAGCCGTACTTGCAGGAGCTGGGCTTGAGAAGAGGTAGCCAGTTGCCAAGTTACCAGGGACTTTCTCTCGCCCAGACCACGCCACAATTGCAGCTGTGTATCTCAGGCCTTCTGCCGAAAGTACACTTCCATGCAACCCTGAAGCCAAAAGCCTACAGAGGAGGATTCCAGACGGGGCCCTGGGATCAACCGCACCCCACCTGCCTGGGCTGATCCTCAAAAGCTGCAGGCCAGATAGGTGGACATAGCTGCTGGGGTCCTTACGAAGGTATAGTTACATCAAAGCCGCAAGCATCTGGTTGATAATCTGTTTTATGTTGACATGAATCTGCATGCTATAATTTCAGTGGGTTCAACACACACAAGCACAAATAAATAAATAATTATATATATATATATATATATATATATATATATATATACATACATATATATATATATATATATACATATGTTGAAGCAGGGTCGCCATTGGAGTTATAGTGATACACTTTTCAGCATACTTCTTTGCCGTATATACTAGCTCTATAGAATGCCTTACACCCTGAAGCTGAACGTTGCCAAAACCTAGCCCTCTTCGAATGCACCTGAGCATTCATGGGCATTATCCCGGCGAGGAAGAGAGACCCTGCCTTGGACGTTGGTGCTGGGGGGCATCAAAATTGTGACAGAAGGCTCTATTACCATATGATACGATAAAACGTAGTATTGTACAACATATAAAACATATCTATAAAACCGTTATGCTGAATGGCTGTCGGGTCGAGCGCGTTTCGCCGTGTCACGGCTTCTGTGGGGGGTTTAGTTCTATATACCTATAGGGTTCCTCTAAAAGGGATCTATAAGGGATCTATAGAACTTAGGGTTTCCGATACCTCTTAACTAAGGAAAACCTCATATAGTACGGCATCTAATATTTAGGGTACCCATAAAGGGACCCGAATTTTGACAACCACCCATATGTAGCCACCACCTCGGCCGAATGCACCAGGCGGCCCTGAAGAAGGCCAACATCGAAGCTCGCCCGGCTCAGTTTAGATGATAGGGTATTATTGGGGTATATGATACTATAAATTGCACTAAGGAACCCCAGAACAGTACAGGTAATTGGGGTGTATGATACTATACATGTACAAAGGAATCTCCCAGAATAGTATATAGCAGAAGCCAGAAAGTTGGAGCATCATTATCCTCATGCCCTTAAGGTAAAGTCGAGGGAATCCTAGCACTAATCATCCTAAACCCATGTTCCAACTTTCTGGGGTTCACTATAGGTAATTGTTAAGGCTCAGGGTCTGAAGCAGGCAGCTGTAAGCTTGGCCAAGAGCTGCTTCCCCTCAGCATGCAGCTTTAGGGATTTCAGGATTTCTGTCGGTTGATGGCAAGGACGCGATAGCGTTGTCGGTAGAGTGAACTTCATGTCGTATGTCCTTGCAGCTTTGCAGCCAAAGCAGTTCACTTCTACCCGAGACCCTCCAATTCTGCAGCGAAAAATCCTAGACAGGATTCTTGGATCTAGGAAACGGTCATTCGCAGCACAAGTGTGTTGACCAGGTGATGCTTTTGAGGTTGTCTGTCATCTGGTTGGATAGCTTAGACGGGAGGGGCAACTGCATCCGTCGAAGCCTGAATCGCTCAGATACTTGTGTAGCCCTGACACAAATCCCGAAGGCCAGATGAATCTCTAACCTTGCTGCTTGCACGCGAGGTGGTCACTCTTGGGTGTCTTTTTGTAGTCTTTTTGTGCATGCGGCAAATTACTGCATCATAGTCTGTGTCTTCTTCCACCCCGGTTGCGCTATGAGGCTGCTCGTCTTCACGAGCCCTTGGCCGCGGACGTGCTTAGCGGGGCCAGGTCAATGGCGGGTGATCCCTGTCCAAATATCTGAGATAAGGCGTCAATGCAGTCTGGAAGATTTCTATAGGCAAGGTTTCGCAGTGGTCGGAGCTGAAGATTTGCCAAGGCAACTCATGGACATCGTTATCCTTGAACGCATCAAGTTTCAGACACACCCACACACACACATACGCACATTCATATGTACCTATTACATATTTGTATATATATATATATAGATGTGTATCTCACGTGCATGTTTGCTTGTTTACACATGCATGCAAACATACGTAATACATACATACATACATACATACAAGCAGGCATCCAAACATCCATACATGCATGCATGCATGCATACATTCTTGCATACATATTCATACATACGGATATGTACCTACCGTATATACATGTGCTCGAAATGTGTTTATAGATTTATGCCATGCGCACAAGTGCTGGCACGTAGCTGTGGGGTTTAGGAGATGTAGGCAGACTTCAGCATGAAGAGCGCCACGAGCATGATGTCCGTCAAGTGCACCCTCAAACGATGATGATGATTCGACCCTAAACCCTAAAGCCGATGATGATGATGATGATGATGATGAACGTGATGGCCATGGCCTTGGTTCGACACGGACACCATGTGCTGATGCTATCGAGAATCGCACTCCATCCGGCCCAAACCAATCCAGGATTTGCCGCTCGTGGCGCCACCTGCCGTCTCCCACACGTGGCAATGGCGCGTACATGCTGACGGACAGTGGCAGCAGGCTCAGATACTTTAAATGCTCGGGCACTTGTTGAGCCTTCACATGCAATGAGCCGCAAGGGGTCAACCCATTGTTCTAGCAAGCAAAAAGTGTTCCTTCGTGCAGCATCGCACACAGCAAGTGGCTCATCGCTGTTTCGACCATGTTGTGATCGCGAAGACTCTCTGCGGCCTGACAATACCGTGCTCAAATCAAGGCTCGTGTTGCCGCGGTATGTGGCAGGGGTCTTCGAGGGCGCGCTCCGTGCAGGCCGCAGGTGGCTCTGAAACATGTGGCACATGATCGCAAGTGCTCGTGTGCATGCATACATACAGACATACACACATGTGACATGTGTGTATATATATATATATATATATATCCATATGTGTGTGTATGAGCGTATGTGTATGTGTGTATGTGTATGTGCACGTGTATGTGTGTGTGTGTATGTGTGTATGAACCTCGCCCTCGCCTGCCTGACGAGTGCGAGTGACAAAAAGTATGTGTATGTATGTATGTATGTATGTATGTATGTATGTATGTTATGGCGTGCCATGTCAGGTTATGTTTTGTTTTGTATGTATGTATGTATGTATGCATGTAGGCAAGTGTGTATGTATGTATGCATACATTTACATACATACATGCATACATACATGGAGTGATCAAATCACACACAGGTACATAAGCAACCAATGGCTATGTAAATAAATACACGAACATTATTTTCATATCATATATACATATACATATACATAAAGATGTTTTCAGATATACATACATATCAATACATATGCATTGATGTATGCATGTAAGTCTGTTTTCCTGGTTGTATATACACATGGGTTTAATCGTCGATTTTCGATTAGCATATCCGTACTGGTATCCCTGTTTGCAGACATGGATGGAACCGGATGTATCTATGTAGCTGTTTATGCATGTATGTATGCACGCATGCATGCTCAAATGCACGTCTGCGTGCATTACTGCGGTAGTGCAATGTAATGTGAGACAATTTGTTGCATTATGGTTCTCTGTGTGTGATGCTTGTTTTTTATTTCTTCTTCCTGTAGCACCATAGTATGTTATCTGCTATATACTCAGCTGCATAAGCTGCAAGTCCTATAAACCTCCATAAATCCGGCCGAGCAGTGCGAAGCCACCCCAATCAACAGCCTCTGTCATTGCTTGCATGCTGTCCGCGATCCAGTGGAGAGGAGAGCTCTTGTCGGTGGAGCCGAAGTTCGATGTTTGAAGTACAGACTTTAAGAATCAGCGGAGTGCACTGTTGAGTTGTATGCGTAGGGCACCAAACAACCAAAACCCTCCCAGCTCTACGTAGATACCTCCTTGCACGGTCTCTACCTCATCTCGGATTTGAACTCAGGTATGCTGCAGTTCAGACGCGAACTCGCCACGGTGCGAGCTGCATCTACTTAGTAGCAGTGCCGGGGATGCACCAGAATTTATGGGCGAGAGAAGGGACACGTTAGGGAGCAAGTTGCCATTGTAGCAGCAACACCTGCAGACTTGCAGGCAGTTCGAGACGTGTTTTTCGGGTTTGATCATATCTTTAAAGAACCGTGGTTGGAAAATTAGGGGTACCTTCTTTTGGGGTCCTTATAATAAGGATCCTACTATTCGGGGTGCTATATTAAGGTCCCTATTTTCGTAGCCCGAAGGACTCAGCAGCGAAAGTCGTGCCCCAGCGAGCCGAGGATCTGGATTCGGATTCCTTCTGCATGGCCTTGTGCAGGTCCGTTCGGTCGCACTGCTATGTAGCGTGTAGCAGACATATTGGCAGGACAGGTCCACTGTGCGACAATAAATAAGATCTAGGAAGGTGGAAGGTATCGGGCCATGACCCATGCGATCGCTGCGACAGTCTTACAAGCAGCATGCGTGTGCACTGCATGTAGTGTGCACAATAGCACTAGATACGGTTGAACACGAGCATTGGCAGCATTGGAATTCTGTGCGGGCCGGGGCTTGGTAGTTCACTGCGTTTGGTATGATTATGACTCTGAGTATGACTGCGATTGAGATGATGATTATGAGTACCAGTTGCTAGCTTGTTACTACGGGTGACTACACAGCGGGGATACGAAAACCTGAATGGAGGATTTCTGGCAGGTCGGCCTTCGCGCACTTCATTGCCGGCTCAGACCTCGGGAAGGAATCCGTGGCACACCCCATCGGGGATTGGTGCAGGCCCGGTCTCGGGGCTTTGGGGTTTACTTAGGGGTACTTAGAAATAGATTTGTATTTTTTGGTTATTATAATCCCTAAGAAACAGCTAAAATTTTAATTTTTGCTAGGGTTCTAAGTTCAGGATAGGGGCTTGAGGGTTTTATTCTTATTGGCTGTAAACTCAACTTCTCAACTTTTGGGTTCTTGTTAGGTAGTCGATTCTGAAAGTTTCAATTTTTATTTCCTTGGGTTTTGGGCCAGTAAGAATTTAAGGCTAAACCCTGAAAGCCCTGAAGTTGGAGGTTCACGACTTACGGTTCGTCGTAGATCCATTCTTAGCCAAGTGTGTTTCCAGCATTTGGGGCTCTGAGGGTGTTGTGACTCTGTAAGCTTGGGAGCTGACACAGAACCGCATAAACACCCCCCAAAGCCATCTAGCCTTGGGAAAATGGCTGCGGTGAACGGTAGTGGAGATACAGCTTCTGTTGCATACACATACTCATATACTTGTCCAGACCTGCACATTTCCAGGTTGACTCGGTTTGTGCTCGGGAAGCCTTCTGAAACCCCGGATCTGCGCAAGCCGGCCGCTTGGCAACATTCAAACGATGGGGTCACAAGCAAAATGACGAAGTGGGCTGTCCGGCAGCGGTCGTGGAGCTAATATAGGGGCCTTTAATAATTACCTATACTTGTTTTGGGGGTTCCTTACTCTAAGTATAGTAAAATGGGCCCCAAAACCCTATTCTAAGTATTAAGGCCCCTACAGTACCTCATGTTTTTGTTATGGGCATCACGCACCTGTTTGTTTTGAGGTTTTATGTACACGGGACTTGATGTGGGCATTGGTTGGAAGCACATTGGCCCCCTTTGAGGCGATCATAGTTGTTGAGTTGTTCTCGAATCCGGCATATCCTCAACATTCCAAAAGCAGAAGAACGGGACTGTCCTGTTGTGTTTTGCGCTGGTTTGTGCTAAGATAGTGGGACATCAGAGAATCAGAGCAGATCTAAGACTTAGGCGAGTAGTCGGGTAGGACAAGCCGATGATATTGCACAACACTCAGATGCCAATCCTAGCAGGTATATCGTATGTCTATCCTACTTACTATGTTATAGTATGAAAATTGCTAAGCAATGACCTGCTGAAGATTCTGTCCAGGAAGACATCGAGCGGGAGTCGAGGAGTCAGGAGGAGGTGATCGCCGTCGCCCCTTGCCGGCTGATCGCTTTGTTGGCAATTGCGCAGTCCACAGTTTTGGGTTTAGGCTTAGGGGGTTAGGGTTCAGTGGAAAGATGCAAGGATCTGGCCACAAGCCCCGTGGCAAAAACAAAGGGTTTTCCACTGAAAAGATCTTCAAGTGGATGTTCGATTTCGGGCGACTCTCACCACAGTGAACGTATGCAAGCATGAAGCATAGGGAGCTGATGCCAGGGTTCGCGACCCCATTCAGGGGTTCAGAAATATCTGGGGCACGTCTGGTCAAGATGGTATACTTGCCGGAAGTCATGTGTTGGCTGGCCTGTACTCATCATCTTCTCTGCTGCTGCTACACTTATGCCTGGAAATATGTAATGGTCTCCGCCACTGTTGTGAAAAGCAACTTGTCACACCTAGCTCAATTGGATTCCGCGGGAATCAAACACTTCGATCTCAGAAGTCCTCCATTCCGGAAAAAGGCTGATCCTTTTATGTGGGACTTTTCGAAAATTAGGGCTACCATATGTGGGGGTCCTTATAATAAGGATCCTACGATTTAGGGTGCTATATTAGGGTTCCCGATTTTCGGAAATTCCCAACCCTAAACCCTTTATAGAACCCTTGTAGATCCCTCAAAGGAAGCCTTAAAGGGTCCCCTATTTTCGGAAATTCCCATGTACTGCTCCCAGGAGGGGCCGGCAGTCCATGTCAGGAACCTCGCAGGACTCAGCTGTTCGGGTTTACCCAAAGGCCCCGAAGTAGTTCCTTTTTGGGGTTCATATATAGGATCCTGTAAGGTAACCCCACAAACAGGAACTACAATGGAGACTACAGGAAGTTTCAGGGTTTTTGGACGGCGCTGCTAGTGTCTGGCGACGCACTCGGGGCTTTGGGGCTGGATGGCTTGGGATTAGGGTCCGGGATGGTTTTTGGGGGATGTATGGGGAATCTTTCATGTGAATGACGGTTGTTTTCAGGGAAGTAACCTTTCGGAGGTTGACCCGAACCTGCCCAAACACCCAGCTTTGCTGCCAACATTTACCGAACACTTCCAACAACTCCCAGTATCTTCAACTTCAAGCGCATGCCTTTAAGAGACTGCATGGCTTCCGTAGATTTTGCTGGGTTGCTGAGGCTTGCCGAAGTTTCCTGGACAGTTTGGCTAGATTTGGTATGCTTGGGCAAATATGGGGATGCATCTAGTGCGATTCAGAAGTGTTTTGAAGTTTGGTGTGCAAGCGTGCCATTGCCGAAAAAACTTTCCTGAACAAACAGCTCTTCGGTAGTATGTTTTCCCCCACGGCGTTACAATGAGCGATGTTCAATGGCTTCTATGGAAGCGACACGGAGCAAGCACTGTGCCGAACCCGAAGTCTTGGGCAGGACGGCTCGTCTTCTCGATGCTGACCGACAAGGTGCCGGAGCCCACCAGCCAAGCAAGGAGTCAAAGGAAAAGAGCTTGTTGGGAACATCGCAACACAGGTACGGCAGGAAGATATTCCTCCTGGGCCTTCACAGCATGCATGGAGCGGCTTCAGACTCCCCCACACAACTCCGGGATGCGATAGCAATAAGAAAAGCACCTTCTGCAGCAGCCCCAACAACAAAAAGCAGGCACCGGCACTACTTGTACCTCCAAGAACCACGACAATGTGCGCTGCGAGCCGGCGAGCTTCAACATCCTAATCGCCGTCAAGCCGTCAACCATCATCATCACCAACAACCACAAGTGAAAGTACTGCGAAGACGGGTTGACACCTGCAGGTGCTGGCCTGGGGGATGCTGGAGTTCACGGAGCAGTGCATCGGCAGAGAGTGGAACTAAGTAACTAAGTAAGGACTTTGAAGGAAAGTATATGCAGGGTTCTCAAACTTACTAGGGGTCCTTGTTTAAAGGACCCTACGATTAATGTATTATAGGGTTCCTCAGTTGATGAGGCTTCACATTTGTTAACCGTTCGTCCCCAAAGCAGTGCGGCGCACGCCATGCCGCTGTGCGCGTATAGCGCCACTTTACACAGACGTTCCATTTACCCTCATGGTCTTCGAGAAGTACTGGTACGTACTCATCATCCATTGAGGCATGTGGAAGAGCAATGCAGATCAAGGTGTAAGAACATGCTATAGGGGTCTTAATAATTACCTGTGCTATTTTTTTTTTTTTGCGGGGGGGCTTGCCATATTTATAGCATAACAGGCCCCCCCCCCAAAAAAAAAAACTATTACACAATTCAAGGCCCCTATGTCACTTGTGCAAGCCCTCTTACGGCGACATGTGGAGCAAGTTTTATTTGACTGCAGTTTACCTTCGGGTGTAAGCCTTGGACTTCAGAGCTTTCAGGAAGGATCCTGTTGCATCTTCTCTTTAGAAAATGTTCGCATCGGGGAGGGGGTGTGTGTGGCACCAGCTGAACCCCTGAAACCAAATCTCGCCCGATTTGCCTAGCGACTATTACCGTGATGGACGTCTCGCGGCCTTGTCCCGCACGCAACGGAGCCAAAAGCTCTACAAGCCTTGGCCTTAACCCTATCCTAGCCCTAGCCAGGCGGGAGGCAAACAAAAACCCTGTGTAACATCTGCAGCTCGGAACTTTTGAGCTCCGAAAGCCCCCACCACCTGAGGCTGGCCCTGACCCTCGGGGTGGAGGCCACCCGCCTCAAGCTCCTCGATGGTGCAGAGGCCTGCTCTTGAGGGCTTTTAGATTTCTTCGGGGGTTTAGATTTCGAGCCCGGTGCTATTACAGCATTTAAAGTTAAAGGGGCTACAAATAGGGTTTAATTAGGGCATGTGTGCTCGGCGCTTGAGGCTCGGGGCATGTGGCCACTACGGGGCGTCGATTTGATAAGAAACGGCACCTTTCAGCCCAGACCCCGAATATTTCTAAATTCCCACCGCGGGGTTTGGCAACGGCTTGCATGGGCGCTCCGAAAGTTCAAACGCGCGATTATTGAGCTTTTCGTGGGCTGAACGCTCCAAAGATCGCGCGTTTGAACCTTTTTAGGCTGAGTTGGAAGCTTGCGGGGGCTTGAAAGCTGGCTTAGGCAAGGAAGGGCCCAAAAGTTCAACCGCACGCGTTTTGAGCTTTTCGCAGGCTTAATTTTATCATGTGTGCTCGGCGCTTCAAGGACTCGGGACACATGGCCACTACTGTGCGATGCCCCAGCCGGAAGCCCCCAAATGAAACCCCAAGCCCTAGACCTTCGGAGTTACCCTGCAATGCGGGCTTTGTCCTTGCTAGGCAGGAAGGAAAAAGACCTTGAATCCTAACTAACCCCCAACACGATACCCAGAGGCCCCCTAGTAGTTCCTTTTTGGGGTTAATTTCTGGAATCCTATAAAGTAATCCCAAAAAGGAACTACTATGGGGGCCTCTGGGTAGAGAGGTTAAACCCAAACTCTAAGCCCGGTCGGAGTCAGGAGCTGGATCCCCACGAAGACTTGGCCCGTCGCATTTCGTCGCAGGAAGTGTCGGAGTTCCAGGTGCCTTGGACAGTTTTGGGGTTTAGGGTATGTAGGATTTAGGGTAAAAGGAAATAGTTTAGGCTAGGGTAGGATTTAGGGTTTAGAACACGGTTTAGGCTTAGGGTATATTTGGATGGAGTTTAGGGTTAGGGTTTAGAATATCGTTTAGGCTTAGGGGTTGCAGAGGGCCTTGTGGTTGGATTCTGGCCATCTCCCGCGATGTTCTGTGTTCGATCTTGGGAGACTCAGGGAGGGTTCTGCGTTTCTGCTTGTGTCTCTTTGGGTTTAGAACCGAAGTACGACTTTGGCGTAGATAAGTCAAAACATTCAATTCCGACAGCAATAACAATGAATTGCCGTATGCTGCTTTCATACCAGCAACAATGTCAGTAGCTTTTGTATGCAAAGCTTTGGGTTTTGTGACTATCCCTTGTCGCTGTCGGGAGAAGGCGGTCGCAGTTCTTCACTCAAAGTTCCTTCCTTTAGGGGAGATACCAAGTATTTTTACCTTGCGAGCGTGTTGCGCTGGCTCACCATTATCGTCCTCTAAGCTTTGGGGTACAGTAAATATATTTGAGCGCTTCAGAGTTCTATACCTAGTTGGCAGCCTACGAGGGTAAGCCTCGCAGGCTGGGCAAGCTTCTTGCTGCAAGATTTGGTAAACGGTCTGCAACACAGGAACCTAGCATTCATTACTTTCCGTCAGCTGGTTTGCTTTGAGTGGAGTCTGGCGGTGAATATGTGATGTTGGAATATGTTGGAGGCAACCGGGCTGCTAGCCAACACATCCGCGCACATCCCGTCCTGGAACCTCATCCGTGCGAGGTGCTAATTTGCCCCAAGACCGCCAAAGACGCCGGAAGCAACGAACTGCGCGTGCCCTGGCAAGTACCGTCATGGAGTCATGGGCCTTCTTGTGTGTTGTTTTGCTGGCTCCACATGCAGATTTGTTGCAGGCAGTAATTGGTGAAGAAAGTGTCTCTTCAGAGCGATAGTAACGATAGTATGACAACAGCAAGAAGCCAGCACTGTGAGCTACGCCTTGCAGACCTAAGATAAGGTGTTAATTAAGTCGACTCCTAGACACCATTTCGAAGAGTCTTGTAGGAGCAGATGTCATTGTTGGTTCATGTTTCGGTCTCCTTTCGCGGACTTTGACATGCAGATTTCAAGTTCACGGCTGTTGTTGACCAGTGTCTCTGCACATGGGTCCATGCGCCAACCCTTTTCAGACGAGAATTTGGCACTCACGTTCTCGGATAGGATGCTCTGTGCTGTGAGACACCGGTCAAGGCTGCTGCACGATATATGTAATTCATTTGTATGCTGGTCAGGGCCTGCTCTTGCAGTCTGCGTGGGCAGAGGTTTGTCAGTCTTCCGTGCACAGCTGCTTTACATTGTCGAAGGGATCCTGTCGCAGGCTTTCGCTTGCAGATGATCCGCAAATCCATGCTTTTGATCCGCAGGAGTCTATCCCAGAGGATCTTCCTGGATGTCAAACCGAGACCGGCACACTTAGCTGCAAGCAGCCGGTCGGACAGGACATGCATCTTTCTCAAGCTGGCCACCGGCAGTGCAGGTTTTTTTTGTTTTCACCTGGTGCCTGAGGCTACAGCGACTTCATGAGGGCCATGAAAGCGATCAACAAAAGACAGTTTTAAGCCGTTGCACTTCCCAGCTCCATGATGCTCCAGCTCCCTTCTGGATTCTCTGCCACTTACTTCCGGCATTTTCCCGCTAAACGGCTCGGATCGAGGCTTCAGCGAGAGCTTAGAGACAAGGCGACAGGTCTGCCTCAGCGGTTGAGATGCCAAAGATGTTGGACGTCTGACCTCCCAGCACTTCGCTATATCTCACGCATTTCCCTGCAGTACTGTAGGTAGCCCGGCACCATTCAACAAGCTGTGTCCAGTCTAGTTGCAACTCCGTAGGGGGCTCGGGATTGGGATTGGACTCTGGCTACCATACGCATGGTGAGTGGCCTAAACTGGCCTGGCCAGGGGAGGCCACAAAACTTGTGAATCCCATGCTTGAGAACTTAGGCCCAACCAGAAAAAGCTTTATCGAGATTCCTCAACGCACTGCAGCTCCATCAATCAAGCTGGAAAGTGTAGCTTCGAAGTTAGCTTCGACTTTCAAGCTGCGTCACGGAGAACTCCTCTTGCACTGAATGCATACTGGAAGGGCAGACGTGAAAGTTGAAGGAACTGCACGGGGAGCAGTAGGTGGTGGTAGTAGTAGTAGTAGTAGTCGTCGTCGTCGTCGTAGTCGTAGTCGTAGTGGTAGTGGTAGTGGTAGTGGTAGTAGTGGTAGTGGTAGTAGTAGTAGTAGTAGTAGTAGTAGTAGTAGTAGTAGTCGTAGTCGTAGTCGTAGTAGTAGTCGTAGTCGTAGTCGTAGTGGTAGTAGTAGTAGTAGTAGTAGTAGTAGTAGTAGTAGTAGTAGTAGTAGTAGTAGTAGTAATAGTAGTAGTAGTAGTAGTAGTAGTAGTAGTAGTAGTAGTAGTAGTAGTAGTAGTAGTAGTAGTGGTAGTGGTAGTGGTAGTGGTAGTGGTAGTGGTAGGGGTAGGGGTAGGGGAAGTGGTAGTGGTAGTGGTAGTGGCAGCCGCGGTGCGAGTACAAAAGTTAGTACTTATGGTAATAGTAGTGGTAGTCGCAGTAGTAGTCGAAGTAGAGGTAGAAGTAGACGTAGTAGTAGACGTAGTGCAAGTAGTAGAAGTAGCAGCAGCAGCAGCAGGAGGAGGAGGAGTAGTAGTAGCAGTAGTAGTAGTGGTGGTGGCCGTCGTCCTTATCGTCGTAGCCACTGCTGCAGTAGTAGCCGTCGTTGTAGAAGCGGCAGACGTAGCGGCTGCAGCCTCACGAGAAGGAGCAGCGGCAGTAGCATTCTGTTGGTTCGTTGCCCTGTCCTCATCATGACGGTCACTTGTCGACGTGTGACTTGCAGTCCGTTGTTTCGTGACGGAAGCAGGTGCAATACTTGTGCAATAGTGTTCGGCATCGTCGCCTTTGTAAGTAGTTGCAGGCATTTTCCAGTCGTCAGCGTATTTTTAACAGCTTTTTCTGCTACGATCGCTTAATAAATTCGGCTCAAGACGCTAAATGCCAAGGCACCAGAAAGTCAGATCAAGAGGAATTCGGCTTACAGTCTTATACTCCCTTGTCTTGCTGAGCCTGCGCCTGATGATACAGTTCGCGCCCTGCCTGGCTTCAGCGGAACCAAAAAAAAAGGGGTGGCCCGAGACTTCTTGGCTTGTCACAATGTAGGGTCAAGAGTTTCTGACCCCATCCCTACTCCCAAACCCCCAGCTTGCGATCCAAAGCGCTCTCATATCATCGGAAAGTTCCGAGAGTTGAATGAAACGAATCAGAAACGAAAGCACAGGGTGGGGATGCAGCCTACTCACCAGGAAGCCTCAAGGTCTCCCAGCACAAGCGCTTACCCCGATTTTGTTCGACTTCTATGTGTAGCTAGAGATTCAAACATTTGCTCCTAACACAAGCGTTTGTCCCGATCTTGTTTGGTGAAAGCTACGCTTCGTTTGGGGTGAGAGCAGCTGAGGCTTGTTTAGTGGCTTGACGATTTCAGAATTAGTGCGGTGTCACGTGCTTTGTAAAGTTTTTCTCCCTGGTTGGATGCATGCTGCGACAATTGTCTCAAGCCTCCAGCATGCTTGAAGAGGGTGCGACTTCATGCGCCATTTGAGCGCCTCTACTTCCAAACACGACAGTTGCTGAACCTCCTTCCTAATGCGTCAGGTGGCAGATGTGCGAAGGAAGAGTTCGTGACAGACTCTGTCGTGCGTGTACAGCCTCATGTCTGCATTCAGGTTGTCGACCCGAGTACCATCGGTTCGGTGTGGAAGATAAGTAGTAGTGGTGGTAGGTAGTAGTAGCAGTAGCAGTAGCAGTAGCAGTAGCAGTAGCAGTAGCAGTAGTAGTAGTAGTAGTAGTAGTAGTAGTAGTAGTAGTAGTAGTAGTAGTCGTAGTCGTAGTCGTAGTCGTAGTCGTAGTCGTAGTCGTAGTGGTAGTGGTGATAGTAGTAGTAGTAGTAGTAGTAGTAGTAGTAGTAGTAGTAGTAGTAGTAGCAGAGCTTCAGTAATTAGTAGAAGAAGTCGTATTAGTCGTAGTAACAGCAGTAGTGGTGCTTTTGTGGTTGGTGTTAGTTGCAGCCGTAGCGGTACAAGTACTGGTGGCAGCAGCAGTAGCACTAGCAGTGGCAGTAGCAGTAGAAGTAGAAGTAGTAGTTGTTAGTAGTAGTAGCCGTAGCAGCAGCAGCAGCAGCATTTGCAGCATTATGTTAGCCTTTAGCCGCTGTTGCTGCAGAGGTTGCTTGCTGCTGGGGCTTGAACTGCTACCCTGGATATGCGTCATGGGTGGTCCTTGAATACAGGGAAAAGATTTCAGTGGCAGCCTGTTTTGGAACTTTGGACTCAGCACTTTCATGGATTCTGAAGACTTTGCCGAGCGCCGGAAATCCCAACCCTAAACCCCACAGAGCATTGCAGAATGTGAGAGTCAAACCCAAAAGAGCGGCATTGGTCTGAGGTGCTCGGCTGTCAGATGTTGAAGAAAAGGGTGAGGACCTGCTTGCACAAGAGACGGCCGAAGTAGATTTCAATGCTGCCCACTTATATCCCCCTGTATGCGTAGAGCCTCGGTTTCCCTTAAAGCCCCATTCTAATCATTTGGGGATGGCGGTTTACATAGCCAGGGCCATCTTTTTATTAAAAAACAAAAGGGCAATACCGTCAGCACTCCCTCCCAGGACTTGATACAGTCACCTCTCGCCTGGCGCCGGCTTTTGACACGGAGAAGTCTTTTCCTGGAGTTGCGGGCTGAACGCCGAAGCAAGTCGGTGTTGGATCACTTGCCCTGGCTCCTTCCCAATTCATATCATTCGGACCTTTGCTACCTTGGGCAGAGGTCTCGAGGTTCCGGGCTAATTGGGCCATAATAATTACTCACACTATTTCGGGGGGGTGCCTTATTATACTTACAGTATAAAATACCCCAAGCCCTATTCTAAATATTAAGGTCCCCAAACTTATTCCACATCAATTGCCAGGCTGTGAGATGTAGCCCAGAACCTCTCGTCTAACATGGAAGCCAACTCGTTGCACTTCCGTTTCAGCTCTCCTGAAGGGTGAGCGATGGCCATCACCCCTTATTTGGGATCCAGGAAGTTTTGTGCCAGATGAGCCTTCGAGTCTCATCCCTTGATCCCTAGCACCTCGGGGGTTGACCCTTGGCTCCAATCAGAGAACTGGGGAAGATCGAGACCTTATTGCAATGGCGATATTTCTGTTGTCTCTGTCATTTTCAGGAATATCGGCATAGATCGTGGATGTGCGTCCTGCGCGCTTACGGTGGACGATATCGTTGCGAGCGCTCTTACGGTAGACGATATCGTTGCGAGGTCACTCGCACCCGTGTAGTACTGACACCCAACATGACCCCTTTGGAAGGGCATGATGCTCACACACACACACACACACACACACAGGGGCTTTGGCGTTGCAGCTGATGGTTCAACGTTTTAGGTATGGCCATTGGGCCATCGTCATGTTCGGGAAGGTGTTCGAAGGGTCTGACTGAAACACAGAGAGCCAGACCAGAAAGCTTCTTGGATCCAATCCGGGTGTTGTACAGACAGAATTTTTGGCGGAAGATTTCAATTCCGCAGGTGGATTCGTGATACGACTCCTTACCCAGCTTCGGCATTGGTGGTGCGCAGATTTCCACAGCAAGACCTGCAAGGTAGGCTCGTAGGTCCAGGAGCACAAAACCCCATGTCTTGACCCCTCGTCAGGCCGTCGGCCCCAGACGCCGAAAGTGCTAAACCAAGAGGAGCCCTCAGAATCTCTATGAGGTGGACCCTGCGGCTGAGAAAACTTCACCATGCTTCGGCATAGTTTCAGGGCTTGATGGGATTTTTCCAAAATCCACCAACACCATAGAACGCCTCACACCTCAAGCGCCTGTGTATAGTGCCGTTGTACTGTTGAGGAATCTCCTATACCCCAGGCTTTACAGCAAATGTCCGGCCTACCTCCATACCGGAGCCTGGGACACTCAACGCATGCCGGGACCCGCCGTTCTCTCTCACCCCTCTGCAAACGAGCCAAGAATTACCGCTCGGAGTCTAAGTCTGTAAGGTATATTTGAGGGCCGCGATCCTTAGGCCCCATCGTGTGCTTGAAGACAGTGGCAAGAGAGGGGAGATACAGGGGTCGCTCCCGGCCATGCTAAGGCGAATCCAGTGAATCCGTCCAGTTTTTGGATTCAGCACAATGTGGGTCCTCATGGGGCTTCGAAGTGAGCCCTTCCTGCCAAGCCACGTGCTTTGTATTTATACAAGGGCATGTCGATCCCTTGCTGCGACGCTGCTGCGAGCACAGGCACTTCTGCAGCGCATCACTGCACTAAAGATTTGCAAAGCTCTCGTGCTTCTCTGACTTGAGCTATATAGTTAAGATTGAGCGTCGCGGATTTCTACCGACCGACGAGTCATTAACAACCCTTACTTAGCCGATTCTGCAATCCTCAAAGGCCCACGTCTGACCTCTACTTTAAGGATCTTTTGATCTGCGACTGGTGCACTACTGCAGCTTCTCCCAGGGCCCCGGCTTTCTTCGAGCCAGTAAGGGTAATGACCTTATTCTTGCACTTCTTCGTTGAGCCCTAACTTGGAGACACTCGTTGGCCCCTGTGATCTCTTCTCCCTGCCTGATCCATTTTAGAAGGGGCCCCCACCCTGTAATAGTGACTATAAAGATTATATTAGGGCCCTATTATCTTCCTATCATACCACTGTTACAGGGTGGGGGCCCCTTCTATCGTCTGTTGCCTAGCGCAAGTCCTGAAACCCTGGCCCTAAACCCTAAACCAGGATCGCTATAGACCTTGCCAGGCTTTGTCCGAGTGTGAGTGTCAAAAAAACCCTAAACCGGCCGGCTCTTCAGGCTGCTACCTGGAGATTGTCCATCCGTTGCAGCCTGAGCCGGAACAAGTCGATTCGGACCCTGTCGGGAACTTGAAAGGAATGTAATATAGGGGCCTTAATAACTAGAATTAGGTTTTGGGGAATATTGTATTACTATAAATATAGGGGCCTTAATAACTAGAATAGGGTTTGGGGATTATTGTATTACTATAAATATAGGAATACTGTATTACTATAAATACAGGGGCCTTAATAATTGGAATAGGGTTTTGGGGAATATTGTATTACTATAAATATAGGGGCCTTAATAATTGGAATAGGTTTGGGGGAATGTTGTATTACTATAAATATAGGGGCCTTAATAATTAGAATAGGGTTTTGGGGTATATTGTATTACTATAAATGTAGAAAGGAACCCACCAACATAGTTTAGAGGGACACTAAAGCTGCTCCTGCACACTGCATTGATAGAAGTGCAGCAATTTTCAGGCGGGGGTGAAATCATAGAGAGACCTGAACACAGCAAACCCCCCTATCGAAGGGCCTTAAAAATTGGAACTAGAGTTTACTTGCCCGCTACATGTAACTATGCACCGACGATCGGGTAACCCAAACATCGCCCTAAATCCTCGCAAATCGGGAGGTTAATCTGGAGGTCGGAGGCAATTATCGTCGTCTCCAATTGCAGTCTCTTCATGCCTGTGGGACCCAGAGCCTCCAAAACCCCTTAATTAAGGAATATACCTTAAATCATATTAAGGATCCTACTATAATTTAAGGTATATTCCTTAATTAAGGGATATTGGAGTCTCTGGGGATAGCATGCCCCGCGACTTAGATTTTTAATTTTTTTTGCAGGCCCCTATACTAAGGTCTGGCAGGATTCTGCCTGGACCGCCACCAGGCTTTGGCCGAGGTTGGACAGCTCCCTTTTCGGATGCCCAGGGTAGAGTTCAGGAGCCAAGCGAAAGGCGAAGACCTTTGACACTGGTTGCGATGTCATAAAAGATGCCTAGATAGTTAGTTGTAGCATAGTATATACACCCCAAAACCCTGTTCTAATCATTAAGGCCCCTATATTACCAAAGTGGGGTTCTTCGGACGTAGTCTCGTGATCCGAATGTCAGAAGCCAGCTGGGGGAGTGAAGGAAATGCTCACATGGACACTATAGTGCATGCAAGCCTTTTGTTAAGATGTTCTGTTTTTAGCTGTGAGTAGCAGCTTCGCCTCATCTACTCGCCCTGGCTTCCGCAGATTTCAGCTTCAAGCATGTTCATAATGTCATCGGTCCGGCCGCGCGTGCGGCCACCTTCAGCCAAGCTCTTCCACACCCATAATAACCCCCGGCACCAGAGCTCGCAAGATCCGCACGCACGCAGCAACATGCGAACGGCAGGTGAATACCCGCCGTGTGCTCACGCCTCCTTGATGGCTCCGAGACCTGCTCCCTCGACCAGATATCCTCGTAGAGCACTCAGAAACTCGGACAGTCGTCCGAAACTCAACGGCAGAGCCATGCCGTTGCAACGCCTGGACGAAGCATTCGGCGTCCGGCGGAGTCAGCGCCTGGCTTTCGACTATGACCATATAGTGTCGAAGTAATTACATAATCTGCTACACCGCTGCATAAAGCTGCGAAACTTTTCCATCGTCCACAGCCATGATCTGACATACCAAAAAAGAAACCCGGTTGAGATCGTTCCCTCCCCCTTGCAGCCAACCTGGCGTCCATCAGGCAAGGGGTGCAGGACCCAGAGCGCAAAGTCCTGCGGACGCTTCTTGGCTGCTCGGAGAGCTCTGCTTTGGAAGGATACCGGTGATTTGTTGTTTAGGGTTTGGGGTTTAGGAGAAAGACAAGTTCATGATTTTCTTTCCGCTACTTTTCGTGTAACTGGGCTACTGATTGCAGCGCAGCTGCGGTGAAAGCAGAGGTACCGATGGATGCAGTTCCATGGCAAGGAGGAGGTTGGCCGACAGCCTGGTTTGTGAACGTACGTACGTATGTATGTAGGTAGGTATGTGTGTACGTTAATGCTGATAGCAGACGAATGCGCCTGGAGTAGAGAGTCGCTGTCACAAACTGCCAGAAACCTCGCCTGACCTGCACGAGTGCCAACAATGTATGTGTGTGTGTGTGTGTGGGCGTGTGTATGCGTGTCTGTGCGTGGGCGTTTTTGTTTGTGTGTATTTCGGGTTTGTTTGTTTGAATGTGTGTGTGTGCATATATGTAGATTTGTTTTTATGTATATACACGTGCGCACATATATAATCCATGCATACATACATGCTAATACAACTACGAATACAAATACAAGTACAAATACATGCATAGACACGCATGCATATACACACAGCCATGGATATGTATCAGGGGCTCTCTTTGGGTAGTCCACTTGTTTGCAGCTTCGCCCTGAGACGAGGGGGGGGGGGGCGGGTGGCCGGAGCCTAATTACAGGATTTCAACAAGCATTTCGTCCACAGGCGAGTAATATAGGGGCTTGAGTAATTACAGTATACAGTATAGTGCGCCCCAAAACACTATACTAATTACTTAGGCCGCCTTAGGCCCCTATCAGACAGTATTCGTTTGACGAAGGCTTCATGCACGGGGCACTTGTTGTCCCACGCCTGCGGTGGTAGCGCTTGTTCCCTCGACTTTGGCACGCGCTTTCGACAGTCATATGCCGCTCTGTCCCAGGAATGCCCAATTGTCGAAGTGTTTTGCCTGCTCTATCAGACTCTAAAGAAAACAGTAAGTACGTGTTGGATGCTAATCTGCAGAACCCCCCCAAACCAGAAGAAGGAACACAGCGGAATTGAGCAGTAGCTTGAACCTCAAACGCTGATCACATATAGGACAGGCTTAAGCAGCCGAATACTGACACCTGCACACCAAGCGAAACCTTGAAGACAAGTTGACACCCGAAACTTGCAAACTTCTAAACCTTATAGCTCGAAACCTTAAGCCCAAAGAAAGTCTCTGGAAGGTTACCGAGTTCGATGAGTCCCACTTCCAAGCCGAAGGTCTCTTCGCGCAAAATTCCTCTCAGGGCAACAAGGAGTGGCCTGCCTTACAAGAGTCAGCGTCCCATGGATAGGTAGCTAGACACACACACACATACATACACATATGTATATATATATATACACATGTGTATCTATGCTAGTACCGTGTATGTGGGTGTATATATATATATGTACAGATCACTGTATACATACACGTATGGATATAGTTATAGATCGAATGGCTCGTCTTTAGATTGTCTTATATGTTTCAGGGATGTTGTGTGTTGTGCCTGGTGTCCAGGCTTTCTCCATGTGTCGGTACGTACCTTCGCATTACGGGCACGCAGGCATGTATGCCTGCCTGCATGCATGCATTAGTCTTAGTGCATGCATGCATGTGTGCATGCCTGCGCGCAGGTATGCATTTACATAATGTAATGCAATGCTTGTACACGTAAATGTAGGTTAGTTTTTGTATTGCCTTGAATATGTTGTAGTGCCGCACCTGTAGCCCAGATCCCCTTGACGGATTGCAGTGGCTTAAGCCACCCAGGTATCAGGATCGACTCCGTGCGATCCACCTGCGGAAAGAAGGCAGGTGAGTGAGGATCGCGGGGCTAATAGTGAAGAACGGCCCCCGTACCGAGAGTAAGACTTTTGCTTGAGCTCGTATAACCCATAAACCAGTCATGTTATTTCGTCCTTCGTGTCCGAACAGTATGCTTCTTTGGGGCTTTGTGGACGACTGTCATTTGTGGTTACGAGCCATGGGTGCCAAACCACAAAGTCCCGGGACTGAGTAATCCCATCCACGCAATGACCTGGTGAATCGACTCGTGACTTTTGTCTCGCGTACATGGTTCACGAGGCATCCACTGCCAGGAGCAGGGAATCCATCATGACAAGTCAATCGCCGCTGCAAGGCATCACACCCCTCTTCGTTCTATTACAAGACAAAAATTTGATTCCAAAATGGTTGTCCTCATTTCTCTATTTTCTAATCAGCAGTGCTTGATGGCTCAACTTTCAGCCCCTCCCCCTTGAACCTTAGACCCAAAGACTTGGGTCGAAGGGCTTCTTGCATTGCAGTCCCTGCTCAAAAAAGGCCTTGAGAAGACCGCGATTGCGAAGGCCCTGGGCCGATCTGTGAGCTTCGGAAGCGATTAACAAAGGCAGGCATGACTTTTGGAAACCACTGGTGCATGGATAGGTCAATGTACGTGTACTTTCTACATGCATACACAGACAGACAGCCGGACATTCATTCATACAGGTTGGGCGGTCACTTCATGACCAAGATGTGTCTATCTATTCTTGACACATGGAAGTAGACAACCTACCATTAACGTAAGCATTGCATGATTTTGGGTTGGTTATATCTATTCGTTTTTTATATACAGGTGGGCGACGACAACATCTCTTTCGCCTCTCTCTCTCTCTCGCCCGCGCTCATGTCTTTACATGTCCTTAGACATATACGTATACATATACACATACGTATAATTACATATACATATAGCCATACATACATACAGACACATATTAATTAGAGAGAGTTTCCTTGGCTGTGTGCAAGCAAGAGTTCCTTCGTCCCTTGTCGGGAGCTGAGGAAATTCGTCGCCAAGTGGTGGCAGAAAGAGCCCAAGGAGATTCCTCGGCCCTATGGAGTCCATGAGTACCTCACCAAGGAGCCGGGCCCTGGGCGCTAGAGTTTCAATGGGGGTTTCAACCAGAAGAGGGGCAGAGAAAGCCGGGAGAGGGGAGTTGACAAGATGTGTGAGTGTGTTTTGGGTTTCAGGATTAGGAGTTCTGGGGTTATAGCAGTCTCGGTTTCGTTTCATGGTCTGGGCCTGGGTTTCATGTAATTTCTTTCCAGTGTTGGTTTCTCTACCGTGTATTAAACCTACACTCGAAAGCAAACCTACACTCTACATTGACTCTACATATCATGGCAGCCCTGGCCCATAGCCCACTATCCTACAGCCCACATCCTGCTAATCAATAATGTCTATAAATCCAATAAATTCTGAATCCCATCGAAATCCCCAAAATACAACTGTTCAGGAGATGGGCCGTAATGAGCGCGGAGTCGGCGCAACGAATGGCGCCTCCATGACAGAGGACGGCTGTTGGAGTTCGTTGTGGTCTTGAGGGTTAAAGGTTTGTAATTTAAGGTTTGAGGCATTCAGCTCATTTTTGTATGTCTGGTGCACTTGAATCCTGAAGGCTTGCATCGACTTCTTGTTTGCTGCAAGTAGTTTACATGTTTGTCGGTGCGTGCTTTCTTGTCTAGCTCCCTCGCCATTGTCTAAGCAAGCTGAGGAAATGAGCGGAGTCGTTGCACACACATACACGTTGAACACCATCAAATGATGGGTTCATCAGCACATCCGCTAACCCTTTCAAGCTTGAACTTTGTATGAAGGAGTCAGTCCACGACACTGCTACATGGTGGCGGGATGCCACTCAGATTGGTCGGACGATATGCAGAGCTCTCATGATAGGACAGTCGAGCGTACTTCATGTTGGCAAGGCTCATGTGCTTGGAGCCAGCCGTGCGATCACACCCGAGTTTTGGTGAACCCGAGATCCGAGGTCGAAGTGAAGCGAAAGTTCGCGAATGACCCGGCCATCTACGACTCTTGGACTGTCGGTCCGGTTTTGAGGCTTTGGATAACAGGTGCTTGTAGGGCTTTGAGGCATGGCAGTGCTTATTAGTCCGACGTTTACGAACCGACTCCTGGCAAAGAACAGCAGTGGCGGCTGCTCGAAATAGTCCTCCTTTGGCTACTGCCACAACTACTCTTTGGGGGAGTGTTGCTACTACTACAGGTACGCCTCTTGCTGCTGCCACTCCTACTACTACTACTACTACTACAACAACTGCCACAAAGTACTAAGAGTATTACTAGCAGTACTAGTACTAGTACTACTACTGCTACTACTACTACTACTACTACTACTATTACTACTACTGCAACTACAACTACAACTACTACTACTACTACTACTACTACTACTACTATTACTACTACTACAACTACAACTACTACTACTACTACTACTCCTACTCCTACTCCTACTCCTACTCCTACTCCTACTCCTACCACTACTACTACTACTACTACTACTACTACTACTACTGCTGCTACTACTACTACTACTACTAATGCTAGCCAACCCCCTCTACCAACCACCTGGCGCCTGAACCCATCGTCATCATCATCGCTTCATAACGAATGATTGTCTCAGTCATGGCCACGACAAGAATCTGTCAACGACATGTGCACACCCCCTCAGGATGAGATCTTGCAGAATACGGAGTGGAAGGCCAGCAATGCCCGCACGCGAGACTTCGCAACGGGTGCGTACCACTTGCATCCCGGCTTGGAAACAGAGACTCCTTCGTGGGCTAGAGTTAAGGGCTTCTACAGCCGGTCCTGGCTGCGGTCATGGTCACCCCTCATGGTCGCCCCTATGCGACGCTTTCTGACTTTCGTTTCAATATATGCGTGAGCCGTATCACGCAAGGCTTTCGGCTTCATACCCGAACCTGGCACGGTCACTCTGTCGTCACTCTGACTCAGTCCCAGGAAGTACGACCAGCGGGGCAACATTCGCTGGGAAGGGCATCAAGGACGAAAAGCATGTCATGGTTGCACTGACTGACATCAGGCGACGGATGAGCTTGCAAGAACGCGAGTTGCCGCAATTCTTCCGACTGATGCCTCGTGTTTTTTGTCACAGATTGTTAGGGCCGTTTCTTTGCAGAGTGAAATTTGGGAAAAAAGTAGTATAACCAAAATCTGTGAAGCGTTTTGTCTCCCTCAACTTCCTGTTGTGTTGAGATTCCTTGCGACAGATGCTTGCTTTCATTGAAGTGTCGCAGACAATATAAGTGTCTACGCTGCAAGACAGTGACTGCCCAAACTCAACCCGACTGCCACAGCACACCTGCGCCGTTTCCATATTTAACTATATGCCGAAGCTTGCAGCTGCGACATGCTTGTGCGAAGTTTGCACGCGAAATTTGCCTCGCGAAGTTTGGTGCGCGAAGTTTGGCGCGCGAAGTCTGGTCTGCGAAGTTTGGCGTCCGAAGTTTGGGCTGTGAAACCGAGCGCCGACGAGGATCGTAACGAAAATGATACGCGAAGATGTCGCGAAGTTTGACGTGAAATGCGCGCGAAATTTTATAAGAGGCGATTCCTTCCTTATAAAATTCCACCGAAACTTCAACAGGTTTTTCGGCAGGACCTGCGCTCACACTCGCCAACAAGGTTCACTCTTTCTCCAAATGGTAGGGTCGGCGGCGCGGATTTGTCTCATGTCGTCTCTCTCCCAGGGCCTGCTGTTTCGGCAGGAGTTCGCACGTGAAGGGGTGCTGTAAGCGCGGCGGGCGGGAGCGGTGCTGCGAAGCTGTCCGGTCACATCAGGTGTTGCTAGGCAAAGCAACGTGTGATGAAGTGGCCTTCCGGCATTCCTACCAAAGGTCTGAGCAGGGACCAAGGGACTTGTAGAGCTATTGTTCGAGATTCGGCCGGGTCGAAAGCACGGCTGTTGCGACCTTCGTTAGTTATAGGCCTCACCTTTGCCCAACTTCAAGAAAAAAGACAAAAATGTTTCGGGCAACAGTTCTGGGAGCCCACAGACCCAAAGATTGGCGACTGTCCTGCCGGACCAGCGAGGAGGCAAGTACAAGCCCGGGCTATCTCCAGCCATGGACAAGGTGATTCAGAGGCTCTTTGTGGAGTACGGTATCGAGGACAGGTGATCTCAAACTTCATTTCCAGCGGATTTGCGATCTGCCGAGCACTAGCACCAATTGGTTGGGCCATTGTTGCCGCAGCCCCAGGACAGAACGTCAGGAGTGATCACAAACTGGTACCCGGATGGCCAAGGCCATTTAAACAGCTGCAAACTTGTAACGCTGCAAATGCCTTGAATCTCAGCGACGTGAGTCGGATCGCATCTCGTTCTTTGCCTTGTTGTGATCAACTACCACTCGTAATCTAGAACGACTAGTCGTGTTGTATCGGTTTCGATTTGCGGCAGAAGCCCTTTACCCCTAAACCGCCAATGGATCAAAGGACGCTCTGACTGCTACAGGCAACCTCGGAAGCCACCGTCACGACTGCTGGACGGCCCTGTTTAGCCTCCTGTTCGCTTTTAAAAGTTGTTATTGGGTTTAGGTTCTAGGGTTCAGGATCTAGGGATGTCTATGAGTTGACAGTTTGGGCCTAGCGCGAAAATGACGGGGGTCAAAATTGCCCAATGCTTTATACGAGGTGCAGTCTTCTCTTTTTGGACTCGCCGAGTGAGCCATGTAACTCTTTTTCTCGTTTGCAATCAAACCGCAGATGTTCATGCTGTCTATCAAGAAAGACCGATGTTCGTGGTCTTCGGATGATCGAAACTTTGCCGTCCTGGCATTGACAAGCCGCCGTCTTTGCCCGATCATAAACCCACCATCGAGTAAAGGCTTTGGCCACGAGCGAATCCTGACAATCGACAACACACCCCTGCAGCTCGGCATCAGGTCGTCCGAGAATACCTTCTTCTACTGTAGTCATGAAGGGTGCATCACCGAGGCATGTAATGAGTCCTCAAGAATCCGAAGCTGCTCATTGGGGGGGACCATGGTTCCTTATATAGAACTCTTGAGCATGCTAGCATGGTACTCGTACGTTCATTGGGTGCAGTGCTAAGCACTCGAAGCATGCAGTCGGGCAGCATTGTTGCTCATCGCCGGAAGAGTTGCATTTCACGGCGCTGCGCATCGGTGCAGAACTTGGTTTGGAGTGGTTCCTGCGAGGGGTATTATGAAACGAGCGTAGCAGTACTGGTAGCAGTAGGTGGTGGTAGCAGTACCCTTCCAATTGTACTGCATGCTGTCAAGATGCTGTCAGCTTGCTCATGTTCGCTGGCACTGAGCTCTTAAATTGCACCCTCTGTCGGAATACCAGCAATATGCGAGCAGTGGAATCTGCGACGGATTGAAGGATGAGCAAGTCATATTGTCGCAGAGGCTGATGCAAGACGGCGACCTGTGCATATTTGGGACCCAGAGGCAGCGAGTTTTTTTGCCACAAGCTTATAGCAACAGCTCCGAAAGTCGTGAAGCGTGTCTGTGGCAACAGAAAGCATCGAGCGTGCACCGTGTCGTGCCACCTACATGATCATGTCAATCCGTGGTTGGAGTATTTTGCGTCTAGAGCAGAGTCCTTGTCGGCGATCCCGTCTTTATGCATGGCATGTGACTGCGAGCTTGCAGGCACGGAGTG